CAGCACAGAGCGGCAGTTTGAATGAATTCTAACGGATTCTGCTATATTCTCCATTGTTAGTATTTCATTGAAAGCGACACTCGGGACATTAGTGCGTTTGTCGTGTGGCCAAGCTGAAGCGCTCCGACAGACAATGCGTGGCGCGAGTGGAGCCAAGGCAGTCATTGTGAGGCTGACCTCGTTAAACGGTCTGTTGACGGCCTCCAGAGGATGCGCCAGCCCTCCACGTTACTCAACAGTGCGAGTCCACGGAGCAAAACTAAAATTATAATCAGCAGGATGGCGGTGTTTGGCATCGCAAGCCATGCTGTTTAAAATGTCCACAAAGGCGAATTACGCTGGGGACACAGGACGCCTTTTAAAATGTGCACAGCCCCTGGCTATTTGGAAATAAGATCAAGCAGAATGCCAAAGTCAAGGCTGTCCAGTGCCGAGCTAGAGAGGCGCTGCTACAGAGGCTGTTGCAGTTGCGCTGTATACGTATTTATGTTGAATTTCTTTCGCACCGTACGTAGCCACCCGTGCTAAATCGGAGGTGTGGGGGAAGGACAATAAACTAAACACAAAAAGCAGTATACTCTTTGGTTTTTTCGATAAAGTCACGTAGGTAAAAAAAAAATTAGAATGAAAAAAACTAAATATTTTTTATTTATTTAGTTAATTTAGTTGTTTTCATTTAAACATTTTTTTTACCTACGTGACATTACCGAAAAAACAAAGAGTATGGATCCTTGCAGTCACGAAAACTTCAAATCTGGAACAAAAAGCAGTTCTCAAGAAATGAGTTTGCAATCTGTTTTCGGGATGGACCACCTGATGATGTGCGACGTTTCACTCCAGGTGCAGGGAGCTTCATAAGGAACCGCATTCAGTTGTGGCAAAAAATCAATAACAAAATAGATTTCAGTTGCTGAAGAAGATCCCAACACGTGCAGTGAGACTCACTGCTGAATTCCCGCTCCTGCAGAGCTTTCAGAATGCACTTTCGCGAAAAAGCGCCCAGCACGAAGAAGAGAAACGTGGTAAATCGTGTCCAACAGCAGCGGTACGAGCCGAAAACACATCTGAGACCCAGTAGGCAGAGGTGAGCGACTTTCACCTGAGATGAGCTTCGCGCTCAGAATTGCCTCTCGCTGCCTGCAATTTGGCCACTCTCTTTGGTGCATCGACGGTGTTAAAAGTGAGCAATCTGGAGCAAGATAAGGTCAGACGAGCCTGGGGAATTATTGCTGAGCCCCGCGTAGAGGGGCTGATGATCTGTGCAACTGATCCCCAGATACGAAGAAGAGAGGTCGTAGAACACGATTTTTTTAGAAATCGTAGATTTTCTTGGTATTTTTTTTAGTTTATATAGGACTCATTCATCACAAACAGTTGGATAATTTGTTTCACATTGTCACGCTATTTGTCAAGAGAATACCGAGATAAAATAAGGTGAGATACAAGAACATAATAAAGGATTCTAATTTAGCCGAATTAATTTAAACGTTTCCTCGGGATAAAGAGACGATGATTGATGATGATCATCATCGTCATGATAGTCACGAATTGGGATGATGGTAGAGAAGAAGAAAAGCGATGCAGTTGCAGCCAAAGAATGCAACATATGTGAGAAATACGTCCGCCGGGGAGATGGAGCGATGAAAGTAGATCTTGTGAAGGTCCTGAGTGGATTGTGTCTCCTCGTAGGAATCGGGTCGAGCGGTTGTGCAGTGGTCAGTGTCCTTTGCAATCAACCCCAGTTTGAATCCCATCCACGGCTAATATCGGTGAAGAGTGACATCAGAATATGATATCCACTCACCTGCTTCCCCCACCCCCCGCTTTACCAACCCACAATAACCAGCATGAAGTATGGCCAACCCCCCCCCCCCCCCATGAATGACATGGCATTGGGAGGAATTGTTACCAAAATTCCAAATTTCCGAAACACCTCTTTTTATCATGAAACTGTGACCACTTGTATGCACTGTGAACACCGATGTACCAAGCTGTTTTGCTTCAATGCAACACACAGAGACGACGGAATACCGTAATACATAGGATTATGTTGGAATGTTAATCACACGGATGGGCCCGGTGGCAGAATGGCAGCCAAACAGGAGGGAGAATTCTAGATTTGAAGTTTTCGTGACTGCAAGGATTGATATTCTTAGGTTTTTTCGGTAAAGTCACGTAGGTAATTTTTTTTTGAATAAAAGTAAAATTCAAATAAAATAAAAATCACGACGTTTCGGAGGCAACACAAGCTTCTGTCTTCAGGTGGAACCATCACAGCACGATTGCTGTATCAAGTAAGTTTTTTTACCTACGTGACTTTACCGAAAAAACCTAAGAATAGGAGGGAGAATGTGCCCGAGAGGATGTCCACTGAGGAGATGGAGCGATGGGGCCTACTCATGTGGACTCTGGAGGGGGAAGGCCTTCGCCAAAGCAGTGGTTAGACCATTGCTGTTGTTTTATAACACCGCGCACCATAGTTACATATGCCACCAATTTGTTTAAAACAACTCATTCAACAAATCAAGGATATGAGGAAATGTCACTTCCAATCTTCATGCTTATTATAGTACAAACCGAGCCGGCTTAATTAGACCAGAAGAGATATGAAGAAATTAATCAACACAAATAAAAAAAAGTTGCGAGTTTTCAGCCTTAATTTCACGGTGGCTGCCAGATGGTTGGATAACCCTGTGATGATATTTTTTCCATGCAGCTGATAATTAAGTGTGAAGCCAACATTGGTTGTAGATGCTCTGGTTCTCACTTTATTAGCGAGTGGTCAATAAACAGAGAGACACCAAGTAAACTAATTACAAAAAATAAAATGTATACAATTTATTATTGTATTTTTTTTCCGTAGCAGAAGTGCATTAGTAATTCTAGTGTCCACTAATACGTGTAATTATAGCACAGCTTGCTTATTAAGCAAAAAAAAAATTGCGCAAAATTCCTGGCAACTGTTAAGACACGTTTGCTTTTTTTATACGCATTTATATATTTGACGAAACAAAGGAAGGAGGAGAGAGTGCAGTCTATGATTAAAAACAGCACTCGCAGCAAAAAAAAATAGCAGGTGACCGTTTTATTAATTACAGCGGGCAGCAGATGTATTGGCGAGTCGCAAGGTCAGAGGGCAATGTCTGACCGGGGCATTGGCAGGCTCACGAGAGTGAGTGGGGTCCTTGGGAGGGGCTGCACGCCAAATGTCCTTGGTGGAGCAGGCGATGGTTGCTAAAATTAAACAGCACGCATCCTCTTTGACCACTTAGGGAGGAGCGCGGAGATGAAAATTCCATCCACAAATTCGCCACACCTCCCAACATCCATTCGCCCCCAACCACTGCGCCTTTATTTATTTATTTTGAGTGTGATTTTAAAGGACACAAAGGGGGGGGGGGGGTCAATGCAATGTCATGCATTTCCATGGTGGATTGCTTGCAATGAGATCTACTCCGGTGAACGTTAATGCAGGACATTATTGGAAGTTATCGGGGCCTCCTCTACGAACAATTAAACTGATTAGAGGCAATGGGAGGGACATTATGTATGATTGAGTAAATCAGCCTCCGTTTCCAGGGGCTTACACTTTTCCCTGTGCCAGGTGTGGCCATCAAAGAATGACTATGCCAGTTCATTTTCATTAAATCTGTCGGTCCGCCTGTTGAGGGAATTTGGAAAACGCAGGGGACCGAATGCCCCATCTCTCCAAACTGAAGTCACTATCTTCACTGCAAATGCTGTTTGCTGTAGCATTTCATCATAATCCCCCCCCCCCCCGCCTTTAAAGATCAACACGGTACCTCATAAAACATTAACGCATCCGTGCTCACAGAATATTTTCCATCTCGGCATCACACACACACACACACTTTTGGCCACACACTAATTAAAGCTTAACATCTCGGATAAAATAATGCATTTCTTTAGCGATAGTGACCATGTAAGTGAAGGTGATAAGTAGTCGTAAGCCCCTTTTAGACGACATTTGAAATTTTCACAAATCAATAATGGCTCCAAAAGGGAAAAAGGGCATTTACAACCCCTCCCTCCCTAGCTGGTTTTTAATCTTGAGGAAATTAATAATAAATTATGCAGTGGCTAAAACCTGTCTTTTAATGCTCTTTTGCATTGGAAAATTTGGAGGAATTTTGCCCAAATTAATTTCACATCGCAATGTACATCAAAGCTGTGCCTCCTGCAAAATCCAAGACGTTTGTCAAATAAATGCAGAGATTATATTGCTTTCCGTTATCTCCAAAGCAGTCTCTCCTCTCCCTGTGCCTTCAATTAAATGCAATTTGTTATTTTGATACATTCCGCTGATCCATAAAAAAAGGGAACACTGCTCAGTTTTCCTGTCAGCCGAGTGTCCGTATTTTTGATTTACAATAACACTTGAAGCTATATTTTATCCCAGCAGTGACAATTCCTTAACTAATAGGGTGGCTCACCAAGCCAAAACGTACCTTGTGCCGCGCTAAAAATAATACCAAGAAAAGTAACACACATTTTGTGTGGACGGAGGCTTGATTAAGGTGACGTTGCATTAACTTACAACTAGTGCCGTTCGAGGTAATGGATGGGATTAATCGGGATGTTCCTGTGTTGTAATGAATTATGGTTGTGTCTTGGACCATTCGCTCATTCATTTTCAACTCACCGCTTCCTAGTTCCTGCATACAAAAGATTCAAATGTTCCAGAAAAACCTCACGCAAAAAAATACTCAAGGTGCATTGCCATTGAAAAATCAAACAATGTTAAGAGTTCCTGGATATTCTTCTTTTCTTTAGAAAGCGCACGCACGCTCAGAGTATTTATTTTAAATTCCAGATATTTTCCCGGAATCACTCTAAAGCCTCGCTGACAGACAGTTTAAAAAATGGACAGCTTTTATCCTGTTAAGGTTGATGATGTACATTAAGCCACTCTCTGGCTTTAAAGTTACGTAAGATGGGCTTGGATGGGAGAGAATCAATTGACAGAGGACAACAAAAAAAAAGTTTCAGCGCATTTTCTGTTTAATGACCTCGATCGAGGCTACATTTAGAAATGACCTCATCACCTGCTAATGTCTGCCATTTGTTTCATATGCCACAGGCATACATAACCAGGTTTTCTTCTAGATTTGAAGCTTTCGTGACTGCAAGGATTCATCCTCTTAGGTTTTTTTTCGGTAAAGTCACGTAGGTAAAATAATAATAAACGTCGTGATTTCTTATTTTATTTCTATTATTATTTCTATTATTTCCATTATTTATTTTTATTTTTACCTACATGACTTTACCGAAAAAACCTAAGAGTATGAACCTGGTTTTCGTTTTTTTTTTTCATATCGAGTACGTTTTGTTTGCTGTTGTTGTAATTTGTGTAAAATGCATTTTGAAATGGTAACACCGCGGCCCGAGACGCGACACAGTGTCACACTCTGAAGCTTTTAGAAACAGTGTTTTTTTCGTTTTACTTCGTACAATCGTGACGTAGCGCAGACTTGGTCAACGTGTTTTGAACATCATTTTAGAAGAAGAAGAAACAAAAAACGCTAAACACATCTTTAAAAAGTAGCAAAAAATTAAAGCATTATTCAATCCAGTGTGTAAGGCCTTTACAAAACCTATGCATTTGCTAAAAGTCAAATACCACCCATCACTGTTAGTCCATAAATGCAGCACCAATTGACGATGGCATACAACACAAAAGCGCGGTAGAATTGTTATATGCATCGCGATGCTCAATAATGACCAAACGGAATGACGACCCAGCTACCTTTGACCCACGGGCAACCCGAGTCCGGGCGCTGTTCACAGAACATGCAGCTAAATATGATCACGGCAAACTGCGCAGTTGTACGCTCTGAAACAGATGTGGTTCACCGAGATATACAAAAAAAAGCTTGAAAACGAGGATTAAAATAAGCATTACATTGGGCCTTCCAATACCATGTTTTGTGTGTGGAGGGAGGGAAAGTCTTTGGCAGTTGGCAGCAAGCTGACAACCAGGCATTCGATGTCTGTGATACCACCCCATAAGCCACAGTTACAATAGCGTGGGTGTGCACGTGTACGTGTTGGTGTATGTATGGTATTTAATGAAAGTGTATTTGTTAGAGGTGCATAATTGTGGAACGCAGCGTGTAATAGTACAGACTGTATACAAAAAGGTAAAGGTGAAACCCTGCAATTGCCTTCACCTATGCTGGCAGAAGGACCTCCGCTAGAGGGAGCTCTATAGAGGAGGGGTATTTGGCCTACTCTTCCACCCTGGCCAGACACTCTTGGCAGAGGTGGGAACATCACACTTTTTTTTCCTCCACCACACACAACCTGCAAATCGACCAACGTTGGTGGTGATGCCCATTCGAACACCTGGGTGAAGAGAGGCGGGCAGGATTTAAGAAACATGCCACATTGCTCTCCACTGCTGCCTGACGACATTGAACCGGTGAACCTCTGGATTGCCAAGTCCAGTGTGCGCTGACCATTACACCACAGCGGTCTCCTGCTGGCTGTGCATGCTGGACGAGGGGGGCATTCACCAGCGTGGGAATGTGCACGATCATGATGGGTGGAACAATTGACCGCCCCCCCGGGCAGAGATTTAATGAATTGTCGCAATTCTGGAATGCAATTAACAAATTATTCATTTAGCATCGCGGTGAATGGTAGCGCCTCTATTTGCCCGTAGTGGTCACATGGTCCCCTAGAGTCATCACACGTGGTCGATTCGTGATCAGGTGTGTACAATGGTCAGACTTGGCTGAACGTAAAGACCTGGTAAAATGAGCTAACGTCGCAGAGGCGGCTTGGTGCAGCGCTTGCTACACTCATTCCTTCGCTGTGTTAGCCTTAATAGCTGCTCGCTAACAGCACTTGCCCTTAGAGTCTGGAGGCTAAACTGGGTCACACCTTTGTCTTATTTAAGGAAAAATAAGGGAGATGTTACCGATTTATGTGAACGTCAATGTGCATGAAAATAAAAGCGAACTTATACATCTGTATCGAGAAGCATAAACGTTTGCGGATTACTATTTTTTGCACAGTCACTAAATAACTTAAGAACACAAAAACGATAACAGTAAAAAAAATAATGGTGAAAAAAACCCCATAAAAATATACGTATAAAAAAAATGGTGGTTAACAGCCAAGGATTTCGCTCAACGTTCAAGGATTTTCACTGCTCAAATCGCACCTTCATTAACCGGTCAGTGGCTGCCTTTTGTCTGTTGAGAATTCATGAGTGGGTCTTGACAAAGCTGTGCTCCGGGATCCTTTGACAGCGAAATTGTGCGTTGATGCGAGCTCGCCTCACCAGCCATTGCACGTCCGCCCCTGTAGTGGCATTTCCCTTCGAAACGGACGGGGAAAAGCCTACGCTTTAGAAATATTCGATATTGGGTATGTAGCGCACTGCAGAGTGAACGGACATGAATTGAAGTAAACGTAACTAAATGTTGCCTTTCTTGACTGAACGAAACAAAATTAAGCAGCATTCAAAACATTTCAAAAAAATCTTGCAAAAAAAAGTAGCATTTTTTTTATTCTTGTTAAATCTTTTTATACAAAGGGTTCAGTCGACATGTTTTTATTTACTTATTTTTATACGCCCGCATTTTCTCAACTCAAGTGCTGCATTAATGACCAATGCAGTGATGCTCCCGTGTAGTGCTAACATCACACTTTCTTAAAATCCGAGTTATTTATAATACACAATCCAACTAATTAAAGTTAAGGCGTTGGGATAACACATTTGGTTCATATGAACAAAAAATATCTAAAATACACACATTCATGTGCTCTGTCTATCCCTAGAGGCGACGCGGGCACCGTAGCCTGTTCAAACGCAGCAGACGAAATATATATAGAGAGAGAGAAAGACCACAGGCTCTGTGACAGTGCGACTCACGCAGTTCATCATTCTCCGTGCGGCGACGGCAGGACATCAATTCCTGCTGCTTTTGCTCTTTTTCAGAAACGAAATTCGCGTTACCACCCACTGATCACAGTTTGTTGCTCTTCTTGTGTAAAGATGCCGCCTTTTTGACTTTGCTTTGAAGCCGCTCAGAGGAGAAATGATCAGAAACGGGAAAAGCGATCCCCTGCCGTTATCAAGATTTCTCACACAAAATCAGTTTTTTTTTCTTCCCCTCTTCATTTTTTTTGTTGCATGAAGTTTTTTTTTTCTCTCTCATGCGGTTCTCTTCCTGCCCGCCGATGGGAACCCTATTTATTTCCTGGCATAGTCAGGATTCCACAATCGTAAATCAATATTTATCTCTCTTTTTTGATGGATTAAAAGAGAGAACAATGCACCGGAATTTTCCATTCCTGTTTCATGTGCAATAGTTTCTGCTTGCAAAGGAGTTTCACAGCTCATGCCTTTTTTTTAACCAAAAAAAAGTGTTTTTTTTCTCCCCTTCCTTTCTCTATTTTATTCTGTAGACAAAAGGCAATGTACTCCCTACGAACAGGGCACTCTTTATACATACCAGAGGAGTGTGACAGTCGTTAGCCTCTCTCTCTGCTGTCCTACACAGCAGGTTTTGGTGAAAGAAAAAACAATTTTATACCCGGCTGTTCCACCGGAGAAAACAAAGGCATCTTCTCCCGGCTGTCACCTGCGACCTATCTCGCTCTGCTTCAGGAACTGGATGTTGGCCGGACTGTCGGCCAGCTCCGGGTACTGCTCGGCCGAGAGGAGGTAAAACCCCTCGTAGCCGGCGACCCTCCCCTCGGCAAGCAGCTGGCGCCGCTCGCCCTCGCTCCAGGCGCGCGATGCGCTGCCCTCGTCCCCGTCGCGCACGCGCTCCTGCTCGCGCGCCCACGCCAGCGTGATGGCGCGCTGCCGCGCCACCTCGAGCGAGCGCGCCCTCTCCTCCTCCGCCGTGCCGCCGTAGCGCACGTTCAGCGCCACGCCGCCCGCCTGCAGCGACACGTCGGTGTAGCGGCGCGTGCGCCCCGCCACCAGCGCCGTCGACTGCCACACGCTGGCGTTGACGCCGCTCTCCAGAGTCTTGCGGCCGGCGGTGAGGCCCAGGGTGGCCAGGTCGCCCTCGGGGGAGCCCACCTTCACGAAGTGGTGCGTCTCCTTGCCCTCCACCGTGAAGTGCAGCCCCTCCAGGTAGTGCGAGTTGTTGAGCATGGCCGCCACCCTGCGGCTGTCCTCGCTCGCGATGTTGATGATGTCGGTGGTTATGCGCCCGTGGCTGTTCGCGAACATGACCCCCTTGCCGAGGATGGGCACCACCGTCGTGAACCACACGCGGGCGTCTCGGTGCCGGCTCGCCGAGCGGTCGGGGCTGTCGCGCATGGGCAGGCTCTCCAGCGAGGTGAAGGCCTTGAGTTTCTTGTGCACCCCGCAGTCCACCCACGACACGGCCTTTGCGAGCGACAAATACGTCGTACATGTTAGACATTGATCTGCGTGTAGTTTTCGTGTCCAGTCGTTGTTCTTCCCCCGCACCTCCGATTAGCATGGTCAAGCTACGTACAATGCGCGAAAGAAGTTCAACGTACATATATATGGTAAAGGTGTAACCCTGTAAGTGTTTGTTCACATCACTGCTGGAAGAAGGGCCTCCCCCCACTACAGGCAGCTCTAGAGAACCTACCTAAAAAGGCTATTGGCCAACTCTTCCACGCTGGCATCATTAGCGCGGTTGGTGACGTACGGTGCGAAAGATGTATCTACGTATGTTGAACTTCTTACGCAACCGTACGTAGCCAACCGATGTTCGACATACTGTGCATAACGCGGAAGTACCCACAAGTTATCCCGCCACAAACAAACCTGCTGATTGATTAACGGCGGCGTTGCCCATTTACACTGCTGAGTGGACACGGGTGATGGAGGAGGGGGGGGGGGGGGTCTAAGAAACTTTCCCCCGTCGTTCCTCGCTGGGAGAGGGAAACGGTGACCTCTGTCTGGGTGGTAAGTCCAGCACACACTCACCAGTGCAGCACTGCAGTAACGTTGCGTGCGTGTGTGTGCAGACGAACTAAACGATGAACGCAGGAGGCAAAAGCAGACGAGGGTTTACACTATGGGGACCTCATTTGCCAGTAAAAATATGATAATTGGTTCTTTACCCTTCTATCTGGCAACAAAACTGACACCTTTTTGCAAGGAGTCATGTTTGCATAGACCGCAATACCTGCAGTCATAAATACAAACAAAAGACATAACTCTGATAATAACTCTGGACAGTGCACATTATCAGAGTTATGTCTTTTGTTTGTATTTATGACTGCAGGTATTGCGGTCTATGCAAACATGACTCCTTGCAAAAAGGTGTCAGTTTTGTTGCCAGATAGAACGGTAAAGAACCAATTATCAGACGAGGGTTTGTTTTTATCACCGTAACATTTGTGGGACATTTAAGTCCATCTATCACCTTTTCGTTTTGAAGCCCAATCTACTGCGGGATGAAGCTCCCCCCACCCATACTCTTTGGTTCTTGACTTTACCGAAAGAACCAAAGAGTATGGATTCTTGCAGTCACGAAAACTTCAAATCTAGAATAATCCCCCCCACCCAATGCCACGTTGATCACGATATCGCACCATGCCGGTCAGTGCAGGTTGGGAAGTGGGGGGTCGCAACACGAGATCATATATACTTCATATCATTTCGATTTAAAGCTTTCGTGACTGCAGGGATTCATCTTCTTGGTTCTTTCGGTAAAGTCACGTAGAATGGAAATAATAAAATTAAAAATTTTATTTTTATTTTATCTCCACCTGAGGATGGCTACTTGCGTTGTGGCCGAAATGTCGTGAGACTTATTTTAATATGTTTCATTTTCATTATTTTATTATTTCCATTCTACGTGACTTTACCGAAAGAACCAAGAAGATACTTCATATCACTCGCCACCGATGTTAGCCGTGTGTGGGAATCGCGTTAACACTGTGCAGCGCGTCACACTCAGCCGGCAGTTTGAGCAGAGAGATGCTCGACCGGTTTCACTTTTATGACTCATCAGCAGCACGTGGTCTATTGAACAAATGCTGCTGGGCTGATTGATGTTACAGGCAACAGCTGCCTACAAACAACGGTGGATGGGGAGGGCTCATTATACAAAATGTGTAGAGATACAACTCCCAGGCTCTGAGAATTGGAGATTTTAAAGTTTTGTTCAGGAGTGCACACAACAACAATACAAAAACACACAAAAAAACAGATCATGTAATTAGCATTACCAAAGTCACGTTTTTGTAGATGCGTCCTTACCCGTGCTGTGTCTTGCCTCTGGCTGGCAGTGAGCTCATAATGCGGCTCGTAAGAGTTCACTTTTGGCTTAGCAAAGCCCGGGATCACGTTGTGCAGCTGAAATCCAAATGTCTGCAGCCAGCTGTTCACATCTGCATCCATCAGACAAGGTGCGTTAGCAGGGCTAATCAGGAGCGATGGGGATATACGGCATTTCATCAATTATAAGCTTGTAATTACCTACATTTTTGCTTTTTTAATTCTACCATCTGCCACGAATGTAACCGGTTCCTATCAGCGCGCATATTAACACTGGCTGCAAGCTGGTCTTAATGAATAACAAAATCCATAAATCATATAACTTTGGCCTATTTTTTTTATACAGGGGGGGAGTGAGTTTTGGAAAAATAATATTAAAGGGACTTGTGATTTAGGTAAGCTGTCATCAAAGCCATCATTGTTAGCTCTGCAATCACCACTGAAAGCCATCATCGTGATCATTATCATCCTAACTTGGTTAAGCACCTAATTATGTACACAGCAAAAAACACAGTCACCTTTGCACATTTCTAATACATCGTAGGTTAATCTCATTTATTAAGTGTGCATCCAGGAAAACAGCCCCATTTAGACTACATAGTTTGGCGACGCTTATGAAGGTAAGATGTTAAAAGTAGTTCATGGCTTTTTCAAATGATAATTTTTTACATCACATTTTCAGCACCCTGGGTCGACCGGACAAAAAGTAGACTTTGTCCAGATGCGATTGTTTCCCACACTATGGATTGTTTTTTCTTTCTTTCCCTGCTTCTTCTTGACACGCAGCACTATATTTATTTTGTTGAAAACTTTCTAGAGCGTCGACTCAGGCATGAAAAATAGGGCGCTGCATTAAGCTCACCGGGCAGATTTTAAACTCTCCGGAGCTCCGCGATAACATCGGGCCTTCTTAAAGCCATCTTTCCATCATTCCGCACACGTGCGCACTATCTCGCAAGATGTGCGTGAGGATTCTTGGGATTCTAGAGAGGGTTTGCAGGAAATGCCCGTGGCTCGGAGAGAGAGCTCAGGTGGCATACGACGACAAATGGACGATACGTCGGGATGGACAAGGTGGCATGGGTAGAGGAACTGGACCCTGGGCGTCGCAGAATATTTATCGTCTACGCACCGGGAGTTCACGTGGAGGAGGAGTCAAATGGGAGCCGGTCACATAGGCTGTGTGTACGTGCACGGGATTAGGCAAATTGTCGCTAATTCAATCGTGTCTACATGTGTAGACCTAAAAATACGTCCTGTGGAAGATGAGGTTGCGCCTTCCGAACCAAGGTTCCATGTTTTTATTCATATGATTGTGAGAGTTTTCTCCAAAATAAAATGTCAACCTGCTGATAATTATCCAACTCTTTCAATATATATTAGAGAAGAAAAAAAAGACCCCATTGGTATGTAAGGCTAAAAGTGTACATACGGTGAAAAGAGCAAAATCTCTTCTAAATACAACCCAAATATTTTCAATTATATACAAGAAAAACCTGAGAGCAAGATGGGTGACACAATAACGATTATATAACTTTTCTTCAATAAACACGTATTTTAATACGTGCTTTAATACTAAAAAATGAACAAGAATACCATGATAACATTTGTTTGAATGAGACGTGGGGGGGAGGGGAAGGGCTCTGTTACCTGTGACGTATTTCATGCCATCCTGCATGTCTCCGACGGGATTGTTGTTCTTGAACGTGTACAGGTTGAAGGGCCTCGGATTGGAGCCAATGTCCTTCCACACGTCGATGTCCGGCGACGTCCACCGCCCCGACAGGATGTCGTAATCCCTCCGGCCAAAGTGCACGAGGCGGGTGAGCGAGTCGTACAGGCCCCCGTGGAACCCCACGCACAGCTGGAAGTCGGGTTTGGTGTCCACGTAGATCTCGCCGTACGCCGTGTACTGCATGTGCCGCACCACCAGCCCCGAGCTGCTGAAGATGGCCAGCGGCGTGCCCAGGTCGTCCGTGGCCACGTAGAACTCCTCGCCGCCGCTGAACTCGGCCGCGAACAGGTGGCCCTGCAGGTCGTAGTACAGCGACAGGATCTCGGAGCTCGAGTGGTTGTAGATGTGCGTCAGCCGGCTCGGGTAGTCCAGGTCGGCGTAGAAGAACTGCAGGTGCTCGCCGGTGCCGGAGCGGCGAGACACGCGGCGGCCGTGCCCGTCGTAGCGGTAGGCGATGCTCCAGCCGACCGCCTTGTTGTAGGCGCGGATGAGCTGCCCGTTGGAGTTGTACTCGAACGAGTCGGAGCCGCGCTGCTTGAGGAAGCCGTCCTCGTCCGCGACGTAGCGGATGTCGCCCAGCCGGTTGATGCGATCGCGGAGGTCGTACCGCAGCGGGGTGAGCCGCGCGCTGTTCCCCGGGTTCAGCAGATACAGGTTTCCGTTCAGGTCGTAGCTGTACCGCCACGTCACCTTCTCGTTGATGGACACGCTCTGCAGCTGGCCGTCGGCGTCGTACTCGTACGTGTACTTGGTGGTGTTGGCGTACGGTCCCACCTTGAGCTCGCGCTTGGACACCCGCCCCAGGTTGTCGTACTGCAGCACCATCCAGTACATGAGCGAGCGGTAGATTTCGTACTGAACCTCCTTGACACGGCCGTAGCCGTCAAAGTGTTTCGTGAGCGTCATGACGGCCGTGGTTATGATCTGGTTGATGTCGTAGTAGATGACGGCGAACTTGCCGAACTGCTCCACCTTCCCGGAGATGTCATCGTAGTGGTAGAGGTCGATGGGCAGCGGCGTCTCGTTGATGACCGTCTGCACGCTCGTGACGCGGAAGCCGTTGTCGTAGCTGTAGTCGAAGCGCGCGTTCACCATCCCTTCCTCGTTGAAGCGGAGGATCTGCTTGTCGACGAGCGGCCCCGCGTGCCGGTAGCGCAGCGTGCACGCGTAGCCGCCATCCTGCAGGTTCACCAGCTTCAGCATCCCCGTCAGGTCGTCGTAGGTGACGCCAACGCGCGTGCCGTCGTACAGCACCTCGGTCAGCTTGCCCGCCTGCTTGTACTTGTAGTGGACGCGCCGGCCCGTGCCCGTGTAGGCGATGCGCAGCACCAGCCCGTCCTCACCCACGTCCTGGATGACGGAGGCGTTGCTCTCGGGGGGCGTGTACACGTTGCGGTAGTAGCCGACCGAGCGCAGAGTCGCCAGCGTGTGCCGCGCGACGCTCGGCATGGTGACGGAGGCCAGGCGGTCCGACGAGTCGAACTCGAAGATGAACTGCCTCTGGCTGTGCAGGAGCAGCACCATGGACTGGAGACGATGAGAGCACACGGAGGGGTGAGGTGGGGAAGGGGGGTTAAATGTTAACTCCTGTTCGCACCCCCCAGGCCTGTGGGATATCAGCTGTGAACGAGACGTCGACTGTGCACACACCAAAACGACGCGTTTATTACGCTGCAGTAGATTGTGGGAAAAGGGGCATCCATTTAGTAGGTACGGAAAAATCTGTCAGAACTTGACCCCTCCCCCCCTCTGCCTGTACGCACGCGTACTTTTTACATCCCCCCCCACCTGCGTACGTACGCTTGACGCACCCCCCTCCCCTGAATCCTATAGAACGGCCGATATTTAATCCACGCAGAAACGATCAAGGATTAATAATATTAACGTGTTTAAGCAAACAGATAGTCCACCGCCGGCTGCATTAACGAATTAAGTTACGTACCTTTAAAAGTTTGTCTCGTGTCCGCTAGGTTCAAACGCCAGGCCTAGCTTTACACCCAGCTTTGTACGAACAGTTATACTTGACCGTGTTATCCATCCTGACTGGTTATTCTATTATGATCTTAAAACACAATGAAAACTCGGGGAACTCGTCTCTATATGAAGTGCGTCGACTGAACATCTGCTGTAACAGTAGCCCGAGGTACAGACCAGTGTTAGTACTGAAGTCCGGGCAGCAGCATGAACAGAGAACACCGCGGCAGCTAAAATCTTGAGCCAGCGGCAGTCTGCAGTGCGGCCAGATTGAAGGATGTGTAATCCATGGGGCAGGCCGCCAGACTCACTGCTGAGCTGCGTGATAGCTGCAGTCAGGGTACGGTGGCATACAAGTGACACCTCTCCCACAGTCCCACTTCTCCCAGTAGAACTTGTCTGACAGCTGAAGAAACTGAACTGTGGCTCATTTGAAGGCCAATGTAGACAAATTATCGAGGCTTCACCCCCCCCGCCCCATTTTCTATGCGTACGTACAATGTCAGTAGACCCCCCATACGCAAGCATAAGCATTTGGGTTAACCCCCCTGCCCCATCCATGCGTACGTACTCAATGGATGGCCCCAAACTGTGCGAGGCAGGAATGAGTTCGCAATTCAACGACGCCGACTGCACTGCCCCTGCGAGGTTACTATAACATTGGCAGGCTCGAAATAGATCCTTGAATCTATCTGTGCGGCGCTTTGAGTGTTACCACCAAACATGCAACGGGCGTCAGCGTCAGGATCGAAACCACGACCTCCTGCATACCAGGCGAGGCAAATTAACATCTCGCCACCGCGGCTCACCCGGTCCAGGTACGAGTATGACCACGTGCGCCCGTCGGCGAACGTGCGCGACTTGAGTCGCCCCGCCGTGTCGTAGTCGATGCGCTCCGACATGGAGCCGCGCTGGAACGTGAGCATGCGCCCACGCGCCGAGTACGTCACGTTGAGCGCCGTCAGCTTGTTGTCCGGCTGCCACAGCGTGGGGCGGCCCAGCTGGTTGTAGACGACGCGCAGCGTGAACTTGCGGTGGTCGTCGTTGATCTTCTCGGTGCGCGTCTGCCGGTTGAAGTCCATCGAGAGGATGTTCCTGCCGTTCACCTGCGCGCCCGCACGGTGGTGGGCGGGATGGGGGCGTCAGCGGCCGACTTCTTACGCCGAGGTTACCCACGTTTGTCCTTCCCCCCGCACTTCCGATCAGCACGGCTTGCTCCGCACGGTGTGTAAGAACAACACCGTAGGCTTTCGCGACCAATATGATCCATAAGAGGTTTGTTTTTAGGTTAGATCGCGTAAATAGAAATGTTTCGTTAAACCTGCCAGCACCCAACGCAGCCAACTAGTAGGGTTTGTGACCTTAACAAAACATGCCAATTCCTTACGAGTTCAGCACATGGCTGTGTTGTTGTGGGTTTACTCTCCAACATGTACATACGTACGTTTGCATGCGGTTCTTCCTTCGTCACAAGTGGTATTCACCTGTACACCGTTATAATGCTTAGCACACTGGACCCAGCAGTGCATTCACCACAGTTCAAGAGACAAAGTGATTCCCTGCTCATATGGCATCGAGGAAGGGCTCCTCTCACGTGCAGCGGCGTAAAGGGAGGGTAATGTCTGGCCAGCGTGGATCAGCAGAACAAAGAACCCTCTGGAAGGCCTCACCAAGGCCTCGCTTTAGTGGAGGCCCTTACGCCAGCAGTGGCGTTGAGCAGAAAATTGCAGGACTGTGCCTTAATCTTCATCATAACATCGTCAACTGCTGGCCATCAAGACCGCTGCGCCGTGACACCAACGTGGTCAACCAGCTCATAGCCAGCGCTATCGAAGGGCTAAAGAACCGGGACACCTCTTTTGTAACATTTTGTTTACCACTCCAGCCAATCAACTCCGGGCGTACGAAACGTGGGGGAGGAGGGAAGGCGAAACCACGGAGATCGTGCGTGTGTGGGTGTCTGCGTGCGTGTCTGCGTGCGTCTCCCCCTCTGGCGCGTACCCGCAGCTTGCGCCCGTAGACGGTCACGTTGCCCCGCGCCTGCTCCTTGCGCAGGCGCCACTCGAGCATGCTCACGCCGCCCTCCATGGGCAGGCTGATGTTGAGGCGGACGGCTGCGGGGCTGGCGGGGCCGGCCACCACGTGCGGCTCGGTGTGCAGGCCCAGCTGCAGCCCGCTGGCGTACGCCACCTGTAGCGAGCCGTCGTGGCCCACGGCATACGCGTTCTTGCTCTGGTCTGCACGGGACGGGGGGGAGTGCGACGGAAACGAGCGGCTCGTGAATTCTCCGCCGGGACCGGCAGCGAACGAGAGAGTTTCTTTCAATCTTCTGCGTCAATAATTTAATCAAACAAGAAGCGACCTGGCCACAATTGATAGCTCGACGAAGTGGTTTATCGCGTGGAAGTTTAGAGCAGCTGCCAAATATTGTAAACGCGTGTTTCTAAATGTGGAGGGAAAAAACCGGAGGACCCGGAGAAACATCCACGCAACCACGGGGAGAACACGCAAACTCCAAATATGCAGGCATCTGAACCTACGACCTCCAGTATATCAGGCGAGGTAGTTAACATCTCGGCACCGTGGCGCCCCAATTAAAACTTGCAAATCATTCAGGGTGGTCGGAAGGGAAATACACAAATAAAATAAATAAACAAAGTGAACATCGCCAGGGAATACATTTTTTTTTGTTACATTTGAATAGGTCAATTATAATTCAGGTTAACCAGGGGGGGGTAACGAGGGAGGTGCCCTTGATTGATTGGAAAGGTCCGGGAGTGAAAGGGGGCAGGCTAAGTGCAAGGTGATCAGAACCGTGGCTGATGTGCTGCTGTCAGCTCCGGTAACTGTAATAGGAATTTAAGAAGATTGTGAGGACCCCGTGAAGATGATGATGAAGACAAATTTAAATGATAAATGTAACTTAAAGCATTTCAATATGACTGCATCTCAAGATGGTGTACAAATAGGGGCAAACATGCATATCTAGAGAGTAAAAAAATATCTTATCTTATTTATTTCACAAATGGAAACGAGGGTATAGATTGCTACAAGTTGGACAGAGTGTGGCGATGACATTACGGTAGTCACAGGCAGAAGAGACGAGTCTTGAGCCTGGACGATAATACGAATACGGTGATTATCTCAGCCGTGCGGATAGTCCATGCAGAAGCTTGAGGATGGAACGGTGTGATTAAAGCGGGAGCCAGAGGAGGGATCGAAGGATGATGACGATAATCTTATAAAGGGACAACCTGTTTTACACTCTGATAGGATGACGGCTTAGGGCCAACAATTATTATTCAGGCCAATGCCCACCCAGCAAAGGGGAAAAGACAAAAGATGTTTTGGCTGGACCCTGCAGCAGGCTGTAGTAGGTCTTGACGGTGGAGAGGTTGGTGGTGATGGTGACGTCCTCGTCCTGGCTGGAGGTCTGCACCACGCGCAGGGCATCCCTTGCGTCTCCGTTGAGCGACTTCACCAGGCCCGACGGGAAGGTCACATTCGTCAGTCGACCGTCCACGTCATATCTGCGTAAATAAAAAAATAAACAGGTCGTTCAGTGTTGTTCAAACGATTCAACGTTTAGCAACGGTGCTTCGAGAACAGGACGAGGGTTAAGGATTTGCAGGCGCGCATGCTGAAATTCCGCAGTAGCTCAGAGGACTTGGAGTCGTATCTCATCCCAAGCCAAAGCCCTGTTGGAGCCGAGCCAAGGAACCGTGCAAACCCCGCCATGCCACACCACCGAGACATCACCGCCATTTAGCCGTCCCGACGCGGGCGGCAGCCCGAATGAAGCTCGCGGCGCGTGGAGCAAAACGTCGGCAGGCGTGCGAAACAAATACGAGGCACGACCCTGAAAGCACCCCGGCAGAGCGGTAGAGCGTCACAGTTGCGGCAGCGTCGCTGGCCGCATTTTGCAAGCGCTCGCCGCCCACTCCCCTCCCCCCCGCCTGCGCGATGCGCGTTGGCTCAGAGCGCTCACTGGTAAAATGTGGTCCATCCGTTCTCGTCGCTCTTGGTGGCGAGCAGCCCGCCGCCGCTGTGGTACGTGAGGAAGGCCAGCTCGGCCCCCTGCGAGGAGACGCTCTTGAGCCCCGAGTTGGCGTTGAGCGTCAGCGAGAGGATGAGCGAGTCGTCCACGACGAGGCGCAGGGGCATCCCCGTGGAGTCCCGGCGGACTTTCAGCAGCGCGCCGCTGCCGCCGCTGACGGTGACCAGGTCGCGGTCGCCGCTGTACGAGAAGTTGTAGAGGAACTCTCCGCTGACGAGGCTCAGCGTGTGCAGGTGGTTGCCGTCCCGGTTGAAGACGTACAGCTCCTGGTCCTCGGTGGACGCGATCTCGTACTGGCCCGCGACGTTGAGGGTGGGCCGGTTGGGCCTCACGGCCCGGATGCGGATGTTCGCCAGGTCGGCGATGAACACGACGCCGTCGGGGCACACCGCCAGCGAGGACGGCACGTTCAGCCGGGCGTCCTTGGCGTAGCCGTCGTCTCCCGCGAAGCAATCGCAGCTCACGTCGCTCTTGCAGTCGCACTCGGAGGCGGCGCCGGCGAGCGGCGATATCTCCCCGTCGCTCGTTACCCGCCACACCAGGTGGATCTTGCGCTCGTCCGTCTCGGCGACGTACAGCGTGCCCGAGTGCGACACGGCGATGGCCGTGGGCGCCAGCAGCACGACGTGCGTCGCCAGCCGCCCGCCGCCCTGGTGGTCCGCCGGCGGCAGCGGGCAGTGCATTGGCCTGCCGGCCACCACGCGCACCTGCTGGCTCTGCAGGACCTGCAGGACGATGTTGTTGTCCAGGATGTACAGCGAGTTGTCCAGCGGGCTGACGGCCAGGGCTGTCGGCCATCCGAGCTGCATCTGTGGAGTACGGAGAGAGACTCGCGTTGCGGCAACGTTTTAGATGGCGACTGAACTTCCGTTTGTTGTTGTTCAAAACAAGTAAAGGTAGAGGTGCAGCCCTGCAATTGCCCGCACTCGTCTCTTCTTTCGGATGGCCCTCCCACGAGTTGGGAGCTATGCAGAACATTCCTTTCCAGGGTTATTGGCCTGCTCTGCAAGGACGGCCGAACATCTTGGAAGAGGTGAGAGTCCCCACATTTTACCCCACCACACCAGACCTACCGACCGATGAACTGTGCTCCACCCATTAACACTGCTGGGTGGGTGGACAGAAGCGGGTGGTGGGTGGTGGGGGGGGGGCTGCTTTAAGAGACTTGCAGCATTGCATCAAAACTTCTGCCATGGGAGATCGAAACAAACCAACGATTGTAAGTTTGGTCTGTTAACCCCTGCACCACAGCAGCACCCATTCAGCGATCGCTGTAAATGCACACGTTTTGTGCGGCATGTATGTACATACGTTGAACTTCTTTAGTGCCATACATAGTCAACCGTGCTAATCGGAGTTGCGGGGCATACTATTACTCCCGTTTAAATAGAGAGCACAAAGGGCTTCATTAACTTATGGTGTAAATGTGCACCAATTGAAGTTGTGATTAAGGATAATTAAGATTAAAGTCCTTTCATATAATCAATAATTGTTGAGCATTTTTTGTTATTATTGTGATTATTATTATCAGATAATGCATAGCATATTTTAAGTATGCGATTACATTTTTAAATATTCTTTACAACATTTTGATTGGCTACAGTATGTTTCTTTTTGTTAACTACCCAAAAAGGGAGCTCTGGGGTTAATTACGCCACATTATCTTGTAATGCGAGTGAGAAATTGTAGTAGGTGGCAACAAAATCCCTTTAATCTTCAATCGATCATGATTAAACATTGCATTGTTAAATCAAACGTTCAACATATTGCGTGCTCAAATGAGGAGTCATTGTTGGTCATCCAGCTGCTACAGATTCTCACGTTCCGTGCCCAAGCAAAACTACAACGGCAACAGTCAGTCGGTGGCCTTCATTTCAACCAGATTAAATAATAAAGCCCACCGAGATGCGGGAAACAGTGCTTCCTTTTGCAATGCCAATCTGGGCCGTGGCATTTAATGGCGTTAATGGTACCGACCGGTGGCATTAGCGGTACTGGCGTTGTTGACGGAGGAAGTGTTGATGGTCCCTGTAGCAACGGTGATTGCGGTGGTAATGGCGTCGCTAATGGCTTCGTAAGCAGGGCTCAAGTAACGTTTTCTGACGCGGCTCCTTGCCCGTAAACGTTTAAACCAGGTCCTCGTGAACGACGCGTGGAAAGGCGCTAAGTGCGCGGTCCGCCTTCGCCACATCCACCACCACCACCACAAAAACCAACTCAAGTCAGGTTTCACACGATCACGGGCAGAGCCAAACCTCCAGGGGGACCTCTTCAAGCAAGTTCAAGTTGAATTTAGAAACTTATTACAGCTCTGAGCTGTCTGACAGCTCTGAGCACTTTAAAAGAGAGTGCTCATTAAGAGCTGTGAGTACAGAAAAGTGCCGAACTATTGTGAAATGTTTCACATTAATATAGGATATTCAGCAAACCAAAGTTATAACAAGTTTAAATGTTTAAATCACAGTCTGAATTTTAAAAAAATCATTATGTTTAGCCCGCTGACAAGCCACTGTTGAATGAAGGCTTCCCTGTGATGTGTCAGACGTGTAAGTTGTTTGACCATACCTCACCACGGTGATGGACTGTGTTAGTTAACCACTGTTGCCTGCACTCCTTCAACTGAGGAGTAAACAAAACTACACCAACACTCTAACCCTCTCGTGGTTAGCAGACCTCGACATTGGAATTCAGCTCCTGAACATATTGCCATCATCATACGCAAGGGTGCAAACCACGGCGATCAGTGGCAGGTTGGTGAAGGGGAGGCCCGTGAACCGTTCAGAAATCACGCGCCGCTGATGTTCGCTGTGGCTCGGAAACGAACTCGGGTTCGTCGGGTTTATGACACGGAGCGTGCTCATCGCTGCGCCACCACTCTTGCGCGTGTGTGGAACGAGGCGTGGAACGAGGCGTTGATCGATAAAAATTGATTCTTAACCCTTTCCTGCTCCGAGACATCTGCAAGTTGCAGGGTGGGTGTCCCGTTCACCGCTGGATCTCGGAACGCGCGAGCGGCATAGCGCTGCTGTTTTTAAAGACATTGTTTAGTACTCACCGCAGAAAACTGTATCGACACGACCGCACTCTACGATAGCTGGCGCCAAACTGTGCCACACACGCCCTCCCGCGTAGCCTTTCACTTTCAATTCAGTTCAGAATCGATTCGATTCCGTGCCGAATCGCTTTCATTCCGAATGGATTCCATTCCGATGCCGAGCACGTATGCAATCGGAATGGAATCGGATTAAAAACCTATGAAGTACACGTACGTTATCCGAAAGGGAAAAGGGTTAAAGCTCATGAAACGTGCCCTGAGTGGCATGTGCAAGGGACATTTTTTCGTAAACGGCTGGAATGTATTGGATTCACACGTCGGCCTCACAGCCACAACAGAGGCGCGTCCCCCGTTCAACTGTCGCCGTGTCCATTAGGTGCGTAACGGCGAGTCGAAGCGTGTATATGCAACCCTCACATGGCAACAGTTCACACACGCAAAAAAAAAGATCCCCCGCGTATAGCCTTAACAGACTTTTGGGGCAAGTGCTGTTAGCGAGTAACACCTATGAAAGCCGGCACGGCACACGAGGGGGTGGTGTGGCCAACACCATGCCCGGCTGCCTTTGTCTTCATAGTGGAGATGTCAACACACCGTAGCAGGTACTCATTTGAGGCTGAGTCGATCTAGTGGAGGCCCCAGGACTGGTTCTGATAATCGTCACTGGCGTCGCAGAGTTCATAGCGCAAAGAGCTAACCTCTGCTCCACCGCTCCCCATAAGGGTTAGTACACACACACTCATGCACAGAGCATTATGTAGATCACGTACAATTAAGGTCAGCCGTGGCCATGGGCATTGCAAACTGACAGGACGTGAAAGAACAGGCCAAACAAACATGGGCAGTCGTGGAATTTTGAGTTTATACGGCATACATTACTGGTGTTGTTTTTGTGATCAAATTAATTTGTTTTCGCACCCGCTACAACAACATCATTAAGCCGCCACCAGTGGTGGTGAAGTAGTCATGTTCCCGGACCGGCTGGGTAAAGTGGACGTCCTGGACACCCGCTCCCAGACACGAGAAGCAGCGGGGATAAAGATAGCCACGATTCTAGCAATTAAAAAAAATAGCACATTTTTAAAAATGCACATATATATAATAAATGCAGGCACTCATGGGTACTGGTGCCTATTAACGGGCCAAGTGATGACTTTGGCGAGTGTTGCGCGCTGGAGAAGATGATGAAACGATAAAGAAGCGTGTCTTGAGCTTGTCAGCGGCTCTGGCTCGATTTCGCTATGCTCACATGTTGTGCCAAACGAACACAACAACACCGCGGTGTCCACGAGTGGGAATAGATTTGGGGTCCATCAGCTGCGTGCAACTCTCAAAGCCACCCCTTCCAAAAGTTTGCACTTTGTTCCGAATAAAAATGGCAATCATAGCCATATAAAGTCCGCGGTTTTTTTCTTATTTCTGTTAGAAACTGCTCATAACTGTTGTTAAGTGGTAAAGTCTTTGGTTAAATTAGTGTTATCAATGAAAGTTTAACCTTCACTTTTTTTTCCAGACAACGGTAATATAAGGAAAGATCATTGCTGAAAGTTTACGGGGTGGTATTGGAAACACCTGGCAACCCCTGTAATGATGTCAAATCAAAGACCGTAGCTCCCCATTGTTGCCTTTAACAGGCTGTTTGGGGCCAGTGCTGTCAGCAAGCACCTATGAAGGCACAATGCACAAGGGGGTTTTGTGGCCAACACAATGCCCGACTGACCGACCGACCGCCTTTGTCTCCCGAGTATTGATATTTACACAGCGCACCAGGTACTCATTTAAGGCCGAGTTGACGTAGCAGAGGCCCATGACCTGTTCAGATAATCACCACTGATGTTAGCCATGGCTGGGAATCAAACTCGGACAGCTGGGTTTGTGGCATTGTTTGCGAACCACTACACTACCACTCCCCATGTATTATATATATATACATATATGTGTGCAGGGTAATTTACATGAATTAATGCTTTGTGCCGTTGCGATAATGGAAAAGCCATCTTTGTTCAAAAAACTTCCACGTGCTATGGTGACTTCACTCATTGCGCTCATGTTAGATGCCGAGTGTCCTCAACCTTGGCCCTTAAATTGAAATTTGGTGTCTCAACCTCGTTATTCAATTCCAGATGGAGATAAAATATTTTTTTTTTATTAAGGACTCTGAACCCATGATATCTAAGCATTTGTTGAGGATGTGGTACAACGTAACAAAGGGAAGAGCAAATTCTTTCTGTCAAACACACAGAATATGTTCCAGCAAATTAACATGATGGTAACCTCAATAATTAGGATTTTGTAGATATGTATTATACCGGGGGAGCGGTGGCAAAGTGGTTAGTGCACAGTGCCAGAATCCCCAGGATCTGAGTTCAATTCCCAACCACCGCTAACATCAGTGTCAAATTAGAATTGAACCAGTGGTGGCAAAACCTCTTGACCAACTTGCATTGGCAAGTGTGGTGAAGTATGACTAAACAACCCCTACGAGTAGCAACAGCATGGGGAGGCCTTCAACCAGCAATAGATCGACAAAATGCTAAAAACTCGTAAAATATTAAAATACACCAAACATATTCAACAAAATAAATAAGTTAGCACCCACGATACAAACCTGTAATGGTGTAATTCTAACGTTGATAAAAAAAAAAACCCAATTAACTGCTTGGCAACACTGGCTGAAATCTTGATTTATGGTTGCAATAATAATAATAAATCCTACTGACAAGGGTTAAATTCAAACCGTGCCACTATTCACGCTCGGCACGAGGGGAAGGAGGGAGAGCTTCAGACCTGATTGATGTCGAGGGTGAAGTCGCAGCTTAGCGGTCGCACGGAGGCTAAGTTATTGGAGCCGATGAGCGTCGAGATAATACCATTCTCGTCGATTCTCCGGATCATCGTCCCGTCCACAAAGTAAATGATGCCATGCTTATCCACTGCCACACCTGCACCGACGGCACACCGAGAACAGAGGCAGATGGAGAGAGAGAGAGATCAAAACTCATGGCTCACACAAGTCAGTCTTGTAACAGAATTATTATTTAATATTATTATTTTCAGGAGCTGCACATATTGCGTTGGACGGTATTCATCTCGGGAAGATGACTTCAGAATGTGTTCACATTTCCATCTGTTCAACCCGAGAATTGGCTGGAGTGATGGAGCACGGTTACCATGCTGTGCTACAAACCCGACAACCCGAGTTCAGTTCCTGGCCATGGGTAACATTCGTGGCGAGGGATACACGAACCGGCCTTGAGCTCCACGTTCACCAGCTCTAACTGAGCAGCACGTTGAAGTATGGTCAAACAATCCTCGTGACCCGGCAATGCCGCGGTGAGGGACCTTCTCATCCAGCAGTGGATTGATACGGGGCCGGTGCATGAATACATACGCACGCACGCACGCACGCCCTTGAGGGCTAATGCCTTCGCGCGCATGAAATTACCCCTCCAGTTTCGCGTCAAAGCGCATTCTCTTTACACAGTCGTCACAATGAAATTGAAGCAGCCGTCGGTGCTTCCGCGCATTTCCTCTGTCGATGCCGAGAGCGAGCGCGAGGCAGTGGCAAGGCAGCCTTGGCGCGACGTGGATGGAGTGCGCGCGCCGCTCCAAGGCTCACGTAGTCGAGCGTTGTGAGCAAGTGCGATTCCGGACAGCGAGCCGGATATAACCACTTCCTCTGGCTCTTTGTAAAACGAATGGTAATTGAAATTATGCTGCAGAAGAATGAGAAGGAAAAGGAAGTAGGTGACTGATTTTTCTGTTTCACTGCTGGATGAAGGCCTCTACCCCTCCTCAAGCTGTCACCACCTCTCACAATCCTACGATGAAATAAGTTTGGTAATTTTCTTTCAAAAGGAATAATGTGAGAATGATTTTAGACTATTGCGTCACATGTAATGCACCACTCCGTGGAATTATATCGGATTAAAAAAATATTTTCAGGGAAAAAACCTCATGTATAGAGGAGCTTCCAACGAAACAAAAGCACAAACAAAGCGCGGTATATTTAATTAACGGCGGCCTAATCCACAAACATGAATATTTATAAATGGTGGAAAAAGAAATGATATAAATGCAAGCTCCGCAGAGATAAGCATACAAATTCAAAAATTAAACACCCCGCTGAAGAAGCACAAACACGCAGGTTTCATAGATCGTAATTTTTTTTAGCATAAAACAGCCATTAGTGCGTTGCAATGGAAGATTGGAAAAAAACATTACTGAATGGATGGTTAAGTTGAAGTTTGATTGGATTTGGAGAAAATATGTTTTCTGAATGTGACCGTGATAACAATGGCACATTCAATTCTTTTTTCGAACGCACAATTAACGCTTCCCCAGCAGATATTTTTTGCTGGCCGATGAATTATTCCAGAAATGACATCGGGTAGACTGTTGAGAAGGTCAGATGGGCTCGGGCCAGACGCGTCACAAAAAGAGATGAAGGCCGAAGGGTCAAGGACGGAGATAGAATGGCAGCCGAGGAATTGAAACGCTTCCAATGGCACGGCCGCCTACTGAGGAGACCAGCTATGAAATCAGCTTGTCCGTTAGATGGCTGCGTGGTTCTCCTATACTATACGGGGAGCAGTAGTTTAGTCGTCAGTGCACTGCACCGTAAGCCCACCCACCCAGGTTCGATTCCAGTTCACGACCAATGAAAATGGCGAAAATGTAAACCGGTCCTGGGCCTCCCCTAAGTCAAATGAGCATTAAATGAGTACCTGCTTTGGTGTGTGAACATCACCACTGGGAAGACAAACAGGCCCCGGGTGTGGTGCTAATCACCCACCCCTTCGTGTGCCATGCTGCCCTTCATTGGTGCTCGCTAACTGCACTTGCCCCAAGAGTCTGTCCAGGCTACGGGGGGGGGGGGGGGGGGGGGGGGGAATCTACGTATTTTTTTTATTATACCGCAGGATCATGAGAGATGCAGGCGGTTTATGGGAAGGCCTTCATCCAGCAGCGGATTGATCATGGCTGATGATGATGGTGGTGTATAATTCCATGCACGTACATAGCCAACTGTGCTAATCCACGATGGCGAATCACTTTAAAGCCACAAAACTTCAAATCTAGATTCACAATGATACCGTTGCAACACAGTGGGCCGGGGGCCGTCACACACGCATGGTCCTGAGGCCACTCGCCCACAATCCCGGAGATGCGGGAATTCACGTCGAGATGGCAGAGAGGGCTAACGCAAGGAATTTATTGCGTTCAGTGTCTCACCCCTAAGGCAGCGGCAGACAAAGACGGAGGGAGGAAAGAGGTGGGGGCAGAGGAGAAGGTGTGGGTGCTCAACACTCAAGTGGGAAGGCCTGGGTTTTCAGTTGTGTGGGTGGTTTTTCTTTATTTTTTTTTCTCTCGTTTGACATGAAATGCCATCTTCCCACAGAGTGGAAAGGCCAGATCTATCGCTCTCGGTATCAAACATCAAATCGGTCCAGAATTGAAATTGAACATTTACAAGTACTGATACGTAGCAAAAACATTACGATGAAAAAAATGTTGGGAAACATAAACACGTCGGTGGAAGCTACATTCATGTTTTGTGTGAGTTTGGTCATGTCAGAGAGCCAAAGTAATCGTAAAATATATTTGTGATAATTGGTTTTGGTTTCTTTGTCAATCAGCTCCTGGGTGAATGTCTACTCATGCTATGCAATCGTGAAGGTTGATTGACTATACTTCACCACGCTGGTCAGTATGGGTTGGTGAATGAGGACCAGGACCAGCTCAGACATCCCAAGCTAATAGCGTTGGTTCTCTGCTGGGAATCGATTCAGTTCAGCCCATGTTTTTTTCTGCTTCAGCATGGGTAATAATTACAGCTAGATTGCAGGAATATTAAGGAAAACCAACAAGAGCAGGAAATAACACAAAATGCAGATGCAAACACATACATTCGAACATATGGCAGGTACTCTGCTGGGTCTGAATGCACCACGGCACATTCAAAGTGAGACAAGCGCGTGCACACGTGGTAAATTACCAAGCCACGTTGAGCTCAGATGAAATCTGTTGCACCTTTACATTGCAGGGAACCTTCGTTGAAGCAGAGTGCTGCTATACATAACCTCCCATCACTCTAACCCCTCAAGATTCCAAAGCGCATGGAGTCTCTGTCTACTCCAGGGGCGGTTTCTTCATTAGGGCGATTGGGCGACGCACCACCAATGTCATTCAACCACAGAGTCACGCTAGCCGTCACTGTCAGCCTCTGGATATAGTCCAATCAGCGTCATGTCACGTTCTGTGGAGTACCGCCTCTTTTTGGGCGATTTCACTCCGGCTGAGAATCGCCCCGAGTGGCCCCATAGACTTACATTCAAAGATGTTTTTTTTCGAACGGCGGGCGCTCCAATGCATTCTCTATGGCTTCCGGGAGGGCATGCACTAACGTGCTTACGTCATCATACGTGCTAACGTCATCCTACGTAAGCACGTTTCATCCAACAATATAATTTATCGCCACCTAGTGGAATCTTTAATAAAATAAACTTGAGTGGTTTGTTTTAATAGTGAGTATAGAAACAAACAAGATGTATTGTAAGAGTCACTTTATTTTTCATTAATATTAAAGAAGTGAAGTTGCCTTTACATGCTTAAGCTGTTAATTTATCCATTGCATGGGTGGACCTTATCCTTATCAATCATCCAGACAGGAGCCGCCACTGGTCTACTCTGTTTTCCGATGGGTTCTCTTTTCCCTTTGCCTTGTGTTTGTTTCTGTCCCATCAGTGCTCGTGGTAACTCCTTAAAGTAGGTGTCCTAGCCATCGCAGCCCTTTCTTCTTGATAACATGACTGCCTTGCCTCTTGTCCCCATCCTCTCTGTAGGCACCTCCGTTGCCTACTTTCAATTGCCAATTGATTTGCGGGATCTTACATGGGGCAACGCAGTTCAAATTCACAACGTTCAATCGATGCCTACTTCCAGGCCCCACCCTCTATCATCAGGCTTTCGAGTGACAGAGTATTGGTCATTTACGTTACGATATCGACATGGTCACCAGATTATTAAATCATGGTTCGCAGTTTGCCACACGTACAGGAAAGTCCAGAGTAATAAACAGCACAGTTTTAACTTTTCAACTGAGAACCCAAGGGTGCTGCTACAGTGGTGTGATTCTTATCACGCTAGACCTTGCAATTCAGTGTTATAGAATAGGCAAAGTACTCTCTACGGCTCACACAAGTGGAAGATCATCTGGCAGCCGTGGCATGTGAGTAAGGAAGCAAACAATTACAAAGTATCGTTCAACGGCCGACACGAGTACCACAAGACAAAGATCCCCCATATAGCCTTAACAGACTGTAGGAGCAATTGCTGTTAGCGAACACCTATGAAGGCCGGCACGGCATGCGAGGGGGTGGGTGGCCAGCACCAGGCCCAACCGCCTTTGTCACGAGTACACACACACACACACGCGAGTACACACATACACACACAGAGTACAGTACAGAGTGCCTTACACAACACGATACGGTGAGGAGGCAGTGTGCCGGCGGTGAGAGTGCGAGGTTGCGGCGAGTACCGCGAGGGTTGGTGAGCGAGGCGTTGACCGCCCGTCCGCCGTCGCCGCAGCGCGTCTCGTCGAGCGGCAGGCACTGCTCGCCGGTGCCGGCAACCACCTCCCCGTTGGACGTCAGATCGCCCACCCTGCCCGTCAGCGAGCGCACGCGGTACAGGCGCCGGCTGTTGGTGTCCGACACGTAGAGCCAGCCCGACACGGGGTCCACGGCCAGGTAGTAGCGGTGCGACGGGTTGTTGCTGAAAGAAAGCAGGGAGGACCGCAGCCCCAGCGTCAGTCTGCGGCAGGTCGAGGACCTTAGAGGAAATTGGAGAGTCGGACTCCAATGCAAAATAACGGGACACCTGGACTTTGAGAAGACGACAACGTGCCGGTATCATTGTCTTTATTAGCTGCAGCCTATCCGGCACCACACCACGCAAAACCCCCTTGTACATTCGCACATCCGATTAACGAGGTTGGCTACGTACGGTGCGGAAGAAGCTCAACGTACACACTGTTCTGCCTCACGGCAGGTATGGTGGTGTGCGTACACAGGAATTTCCTGAATTGATGTTGATTTTGATCACGTGACCAGGAAGTTGCGATTTAAGATTCTCTAATTAATGCGGCAGGGTATCAACCATTACATAGAGTACAAAATGGAGGCACAAATAGCGTCTCAGTGAAGACAGGTGCATTTGTTCATTGTGGGACTTTTAGAAGCATTGTCAGTAAGTTCGTTTATGTTCTTATAATACTGAGAATGCTGTTATAATGTTAGGATGGCCGTTATAATGCTGTAAATGCCTTTATAATGCTGTTAAATTGTTATGATACATATGAGGCCTAGTTAACAACGAAGCCTGCCACTTGCATGTGTGAATGTTACTTGTAATTGAATAAGTACAGTCAGACTTGTACTCATGTAATATTTTTGCGATCTTTAGAGCAAGGATGACGAAATATCTCATCCACAGTTCAGTGTTATGTGCAGTGCTGTAAATTTAGGCTGCAGTATGGTGATTACACGATGTGCCCTTATTAAACACAGTAGCTTATTCTCTTGTATAGTTATTAATTACTACTATAGGTGCCTGGTCCATCCAGGATATATTGTTGAGTTTCATGTTATCTAAGACAATGTTATGATGCTATAGTGTTCATTCCTTGTATTGATATTCCAAGTATTAACAGATGCTGTATTTTGAGCTGTGTTTTTCCATCAGTTTTACCTCGTTCATTTCCTTAAATGCGTTTGGAGTTGGATGTTCACCTTGACTCTGAAGGGTGATTGAATGTGATGTTATCTACTCGGATAGTGGTGCAACGCAGCGCACGGTGAGGCCGAGACACACACATACATATGGACGTTGCAAAGCCGCACCGCAAAACGTACAAAATCCGTTACATGCAAACACAGAAGCCTCTTTACAAAGAAGCACACGCGAACAAGGCACTCACCTGTGCCTCAAATCTTTGTTTCTGGACACGGCGAGGAAGCATTGGGAAAACAAGAAACAAGCATGAACATATCCGCACGTGCCCGAGTGTGCCATGCCTCTGCAGATACAAGTTTTTTGTTCTTTCAGGTACAGTACAACGTCGCGTATCCGACTCGAGAAAACCGAGGTATACGTGGATATGTGAGAAGGTCGGATATGTGAACGCCTACAGGAAATGAGAGTGACACCGTTGGCAAATAGGTTACTGGACACAAGGTAAAGCTTTTGGCTGGCCATCGAAGAAAGACGGTCACTGCATCGCGTGCTTTCAGATGCACTTCGGCGGCCCTCTGGACCGCTCTTCCTTGGGATATCACGAAGCCACTGGAGCTATGCACTTTTAAATTTGAATTGAAAACTAATTTCTTTAGAACTGCTTTTTGTGTTTAGTTTGTTGTCCTTCCCCCGCACCTCCCATTAGCGTGGTTGGCTACGTACGGTGCGAAAGAAGTTCAGTGTCCATAATATAGGTTTGTTGGGTTAGATCGTGTAAATTTAAATGTGTCGTTAAACCCGCCACCACCCGAAACAGCAAATTAGTAAGGTTTATCACATAAACAGAACATGCCAATTCGTTACTTTACGCGAGCTAACCCAAAAAACCTATATTATGGATGATATTGGCCATGAAAGTCTACGTGTGAAAGTTAAATGTGCATACATACAAAGTGAAAACTGCTTTAAATATTGGGAAGTGCTTCAGTGTGGTTGAAAAGGAAGCAAATGCATGCGCCGGAACACGAGTACATGACCGCAATGTGAACAAGTTGGGATTGTGAATATGTTACTAAAACACAACACAGTTGTCAATAGCACTCACATAAAAGGAAGACATTTTTTTATATTATAGGCAACGTTTCGATGTACGCGGGGCGCGGGCGGATGATTGGTCACAGCGGACATGCGACAGTCGGATATGCGACGTTTGCACCGCATGTGTACAGCCGCAACGGCGGAGTGGAACTGGCGAGGTTTTACGCTGGGCATTAAGCCAATGAGAAGTGACTCTCTGCTAGTTGACGTTTAGCCGATATCCAGCAGCGTGGCTTTTATGAGACGTCTTCCAAAGGTTGTGATAAAAATGTTTTAATTAAATCTGCATGCTTTTTTTCTTGGTTTCTCTAATGAAGTCAACCAGTTGTAATAGTTCTGTTTGAACACTGTTGAATTGCATTATAAAAAGCATCCCCGCACTGCCCCATCAATATTGTCAGATTTTTAAAGGACTGCCGGCTCGTGTGCAACGATGCTGCTTGGCTTTGTAAGCGTTCATGGGCATGTTTATATCCTGCGTGAAATGAACAGAAAATTTTGCATTGTACTTTTAGCCTTTAAACTATGGATACTTACAAAAAAACTTTAACTTTTTACGCTTAATAACCTGAAACTTTTTTTTGTTTGAGGAGAAAAAATAAGCCGTTTAGCAATTTTCACATTAATAAATGAATTGCATTGCCCACCAACACATCAGAACAGCTTATACAATGTAATTGTTAAACCTTATCTGCACAGCAATTTGTTTGAATCTTGGAAGATGTATGCACACAATTAGGCCCTTTTAGGGCAGGTCAGCGAGCGGGAATTTGTCTATATTAAAAAGGACTCGAGCGGGAGACGGCTTTACCCACAGCCCTGCTAATTTGCCAGAAGAGCGATTAAGGAATGTATGAAAATGCGCTTGTGTAAAGACACACACAAATAACCCCCCCACACCCCTTTCGCCTCAACAGACTGTTGGGGCAAGTGCTGTTCGCGATTGGCGTCTATGAAGGCCAGCACGGCACACAAGGGGATGGGTGACCAGCACCACGCCCGGCCGCCTTTGTCTCCCCAGTGGCGATGTTCAGACACCACACCAGGTAATCAAATTAAGGCTGCGTCAATCTAGGGTAGGCCCAGGATGGGTTCAGGTAATTGTCACTGGTGTTGGCCGTAAGCGGGAATCGAACTCGAGGGGCCGGGTTCGTAGCGCGGCGCGATAACCATTGCAAGACTGCTATCCCCACTACCGCTTCCCACAAGACACACGTACACTCACTACACACGTATACACACGTACACACGTACACTCACTACACACGTATACATACGTACACACACGTACACACACTACATTTTTACTGCTAGGCAAATATGCAAATTCGAGCAAACCGAGAGGGAAAAATGTTGCATCTCTGTTTACTTATTGATCTCATTTAAGCTATAATGTTGTTTTAAGTGGGTATTTACACACAATATTAACACTTACTAATTATTCACATTGTGCCATTTGCCACACGTGAACGGGGCCTGGAAATTGCTCTCAAGGTATCAGCTGAACAAGAAAATTAAACTCAAATACATTTAGCATATAGACTTGTTCATGCACTTACACACACACACTATATATGCAGAATAAGATTAGATAATTTATACACATTCAGTATTTGCTACAGCTAAATATTTAGCTTGGCTTAAAAGCACAAATGAACCCAATTTTCCAGGTAAACATTGTCCACAACCCCCCCCCAAACCACCAACATCTACAAACGCTATTTTAACCGCCGATGTAAACAAAGGACAACGCAATTGAACAATCAACTACTGGCGCCGTTTTTGTTGTTGTTAAATACATCATATGATTCACGCAATTGAAAGTTTTGTCCAATTTACTTTCTAAGATACGGGCAAAACTTGCACTTCAATACTCGGCGCGCAGCCCAGATTTTGCGTTATTGCCGCACATTATTGAGCCACCCTTAACGGCGCATTACACACTTGGAATACCATCAAAGTGCCCCTGTGCATAATTGCCACTGAATTACATTTTAAAACTTGAAGGCCCACTTAACGGTCTGGCTTGCCTTGCTTGCTGTTAAATAAGATAATGCAGAGGCAGCGTTGGCCATTAACACCTCTTACTAGAATAATGTTTTATTTAGCACTGGTTCATGCTACCTTGATAGTACCATTATCATCCACCACGCAGGGAGGACCCAATCCCCTGAGAGCAAAACAGTTGAGCAAGTATAAATGAAATGCTTTAATATTTTATTTTAAAGCTGACAGAACAGAAAACCAAAGCACACAACTGGTTTATTGCATTTCGATATGCAAAATGGCTTGACATGTGACGCACAGATGCACACGCGCGGGCGTGCACACACGGGAACTGGCACGGTATGGAGCTATGAACGATTCAAAAATATAAACGAATGTGGATTTTGCATTGTTAGTGTGACATTACTCAGAGGTATCTGTGTTTCGTGACTGATATTAATCGAGTGCAACTTTACACATACGTAGTTTACACTAAGCCGATCTGTACAGTATTTTCCATTTTCAATCTACGTTAGATATTGGCAAAGCTCATCTAACGAGGCTTTTAGATTGTTGATGGAAGTGCTGTTAGCAAGCGGCATCTATTAAGGCCACTATAATACCACTGTTTCCGTCACGACATAACGATTCCCATATACACGTTAAAGCGCATACGCTGTGTAATTTCTTTATACAATTGCGTCCATAAAGGTGTCAAACATTGTTGAAAAATTATAATTAGATGGCAGTTTGAGCAAGGTTAATAAAGCAATATATATATACACGCACACATACACACTGGGTAGTGTGAAGATTTCATCTCACTACTCTCAGCCTTCTAATCCTCCACGTGTGTCACCATGGCTTTGGCAACACACACATTTATTATAATTGTTATTGTACAGGAGTTTCCTGCCAAGTTGTCATAGTAGGGGGTGGTGGGAGGCGATGTTGCTGCCCTGCAATCGCAATTGAGGGTTCCGCAAAGTTTTCGTAGTAGCGTACGGCAATATAGGATCATTACGGATAGGTGTGCCTTGTACAAAATAATAAAATTGGGTCAATGCTTGTACTCTCGTTGTAGTGCCTCATGCCAATACTTCCTACTCCAAGCCAGCCGAGCAGTGAATATATCGGTGAGAAATTAAACTGTGTACATTCCTTGTAAAAAATAATAAAATTGCATCAATGCTTGCCCACTTGCCATCCCATTCTATTAGTGGCCTTTGATAATGTTGTTCTATCAGTGGCCTTTGATAATGTTGCAGAGTTATTGTAGACATTACTTCATGAATACAAATGCTGTCTAATTCTAATTCTTTAATAGTGATGATACAGTTTCGAACAGCCAGTCAGAACTGCTGTCAGGGTATTTCATTTGATAATGAAATGCAATGTACCAGTGTGCCTTAATAGGAACGTTTCAATCAGAACACTTCACCGGCTATGAAGTGCAGATCGCAAAAACCGAGTGGTGGACGCAAAGGAGCATGGAGAGAGATGCGTGCTGAGAATTAGACTCAAGAGACAGAATGGGGGAGCACATGCAATCTGAGACTAAAATGCAACTCAGGGGCATAACGTTGACCTTTGAGAAAACCGAATTCGGGGCAGGAGACGATCGTGGCTGGAAGGGTTGCGAGCCAAAGGGCGAGATACTGGTCGTGGAGTGGCAGCCAATGATGGGAACATGGTCAGAAGGGACAACCGCTGCAGACGGCGCGGTGAGATCAGCTCACATGTGGAAGTGAGATGGATTGTGGCATGGCAGGATCCTGAGGGATGGCGGCTGGCATGAGAAGGCCTTCATCCAGTAGTCGATAGAAAATGGCTGACGATGAGAATGATGACCTTTACGGACAGCCCATATATCTGGACATTTCACTCTGTCTTAAAAATAGTGGTTGTGGAATTGGGTTCAATCACTTGCCTGACGAGTGCCTGCCTTTCCACACTGCGTGGATGACAAAAGACCTTTCAGAAACATCGTGTAAAGTAGGTCGCCCACCAGGAGAACAGGAGACAGCACCTTTCATGCACAGTCCCGACAGATCTACAAATGTGTGTTGAACATTACCCACGGGGACTTGCACAAGGGCAGGTGTGTTTGTCCGCACGTACGTGCATGTACAATCATTGTAAAACGATGTTATCCAATTCAACGATCACGCACTACAACGTCGCATATCCGACCGTCACATATCGGCCCTGGCCAATTAACCGCCCACGCCAAGTGCAGTATTTGTGCGTGGTGCAACCGTCATCTTCTGCAGGTGTCCACAAATCTGGCATCGTCACACACAGCGGATGTGCACTTAATCTCGCGTACATTCGCTTGAGCACCGTCACGCATTTCGCACCCCCCCCACCCCACGCTGAAAGCAACATGCACTTCATCTTCATCCCGTCACCTACTTGTGCACGGTGTACCTTCCGTTTTCAAGAGATGTTAATGTACCCGACGTTTTCAAGTGTCCCCTTACACCTCAATCCCAGGCTAGTCGGATATGCGACGTTTGGTAACAACAATAACAACAAAAATTACATTTGGGACACAATTTTCATTTTCCACTCAACTGCTCATAGAAAACCAACGCACTCACAAACACACATACACCAAGTCAAAGACAAAGATCCCCCCCCCCACACCCCACATAGCCTTTAACAGACTGTTGGTACAGGTGCTGTTAGCGAGCACCTATGAAGGCCGGCATAGACACTGAGTCAACAGCTAATGGCACATGCAATTCTCAGGAGCAGAATCAACACTCCTCAGCTCCAAGAGTGGTGATCGACCGACCAACCAGGGAGAGGGGGGGCGGCACTGCTCACCTGAGCTCGAAGACGCTCGTGACGTTGCCGGACGGGAATATCCGGCGCACGAAGTTGAAGTCGCCCACGTAGAGGCTTCCGTCGGCGGCGCAGGCCAGGCTCATGGGCGCCAGCAGCTTGTTGCCCTCGGCGACGCCATTACAGCTGGGGCAGGTGATGCTGCGCCGCCGGCCGTTGCCCATGACGCTCGTGATGACGGGCGGCAGGCGCCACACAAACACGTTCTCGCCCGTGCCCTTGTGCATCGTGCCTGCCGGGTGGAGCACGTGGGCGAGCGAGTGGAGCGAAGGAAGGAGGGGATGGGGGGAGGGCACGGCAGGGAGAAGGCTCAGGCGACGAGGGGGACGCACAAGCCGAGGGTACGCATGCTGCGCTACCTCGCACTGCACAGTGAGAGGAGCTCATTAAGCCACCGCGCGGTACGTTCGTAGCGCCGGCGCGTGCGGCGGTTTACCGAATGTCATGCCGAGCGGCGGAGCGCTTCTCTGTGTTTGTGAGATAGTGATGGGGGCAAGTAAACATTGACGATACACGCCCGTTTTCAAGATACGAGTGGCCAATATTTATAGAAATTGCACCAAAATTTCATTATATCTGTGGCCTAGATATTTTGTGAATTTGTGCAAAAGAGAATAGTTCGATGCTCCATTGGATTTGTTTACATTTTATTTCCGTCAGTAAGGGGGTCACTGCAATGAGAATTATGTGTGGCCACCGCTTCAGTTGCCTTGATGTGTTCACCTATGCAGCGATGCTGCATGATTGCCTGAGGGGGTTGTTGGTGTTTCTCAGGTACACAATAGAGTCCTGCAGTCAATCCATTGCTGTATAATGGCTTCTCCACACCGTGTGAGTCATGAGGGTTATCCGATCACGTCAACGACGCTGGCCAGTGTGGGGCTGGCGAAGGCACAGAACATAGACATTGGAGCACAGTGGAGTACGACGACATTTTTGCAATACAAAAATAATTTTTAGGCTTAACCCCACTTGGCTTTGAGAGACTGGACGAGATGGGGCGAATGCCGGGCGACTTTGTCACGGGCCAGGGTTTAAGCGACCTTGGCCTTTGTCGGGCTGGACTGTGGCCAAAGTGACGACCACGGCATCGGTGAGCAAAGGGCCCCAGTGTGCCCCAGCATGCGGCGTCGGCACGGCCACTCACCGCTAGGCACGTGCAGCGCGTGGTGGTTGCTCAGGCCCCAGATGCCCAGGCTGGAGGCGTCGAGCTCAAGGCCCTGCAGGATGGCCACGCGGTTCTCCCACAGGATCAGCTCGGGGCAGGACTCGTACTCGTATCCGACAGACACTAGCTGGGGAGCACATCCACACGCACGAGCGCACGCCACGCTCGCCTCACGTCGACAACACGTGGGCGGGGGGGGGGGGAGGTGCCGGGGGGGGGGTGGTGCGGGACCGCAGCGCGATTGCAGGTCACGGGGAAAACAAAGCGAGCGGGGAAGCGGGCGAAGCGTGCGCGCAGGGTCACGGGCGCTGCCGCCAAACGCCCAACGCCCTTGTGTGTGTGCGCTCGTTTCTTTTCTGTACGGGATTCACATGAAAAGGAAAAAAGGAGCATCTGGGAAAACAACTGGGGAACTTCATTAATCCTACATATCCAGATGGAGGCCCTTAAGAGTGAACGAGGAGGCAGTATGGTGAATAACAGCCTGACTTGGGACCTTTTTTTTTTTCTCTTTCCAAGGGCATTGGCAGATGAAGAAGTAAGGGGGGCATCTCTCCAGGGAGACAAGAGGTGTGCATTGCGCGCACACACACACACACACGCACTTTGCAACTGACCGTACAAGTGAGCACCGTACAGATCCCTCAGAGAAGTATTTGTCTTGGTTGTTTGACCTCGTGTAATATGTAACAATCTCAGAATATATCCTGGAACTGATGCATCGCTGTTCCACATGTGTTTCATAATGCGCTCACCAAAATAAATACATGAAGGAAATAAATAAGGGTTGCTGAAATGCTCACATTATTGTGTTTCAGACCAGCTGGATATTTCTCGGCTCATGGCGGACGGGGAAGATCATTCTTACACGGCCCTCCTTTTGCAATAAAACATTTAAACAGCTAATATTCCACAGGACTGTTGATACAGGTCACGCTTTGCAAGGCGGAAATCAATCCGAGGAAAGCGGAATTTATTTTGTCATTTGCTGGTAGCGTAAGAAAAAAAAAACACATTAAACAAAAACTAACATAAAATATAATATGTGGGTAAATTATGAGCTATTTTGCATATGCAATGCCGCCAGTATTTACCGTTTCATTGCGCCGTGCTATAATTTCACGTCACTTAGTACAACGTAAAATTTGCGTCATTACACCTGAACATTTTAATGGCTCCGTGTACCCATACCCTCACCGAAATCCAATTTCTAAGGTTAACGAAGCCTAATAATATACGGCTGCTCAGAAAAGCCCTCAGGCAACCCTGGCTTCAGATTTGCTTCAAGAGAGATGGCTTTCTTTGCTTGCATCATCATAGTCATCATTACCTTCATCATCATAATTCGTTCTTGAGCTCATGTAAGAAGTATCTCGCTTTCTGATACCGCTACATCGACATGCTTGGGCCGAGCATTTTTATTCCGTGTAATTCTTTCACCATGCATATTTTCTTTTATTCTTTCACCGAGTTCTCTCTCTTTTAGCAGCCTCATCATTAACAATATATTTACGCCCTGTACTTCCTTTCAGCAGTACGTTCTGCCCAGGTCCAATTGTTCGCATTGGCAGGAAGGTGGAAGCCACTGATAATTTCCTCGTGTTCGGTTACAAACTTGTACATAAACGCACGCGATAAAGTGCGCCCTGTCTAAATAATCAATAAAGAGTCATACACGTTGCGTTAAAAGTGTTAATATTTTAACTCGAGTGTGACTGCGGACCGCAATGATAAGTTTCAATTATTTTTTTCTCTTTCCAGTGGCCTTTGATGGTGACTGCCGTGAGCAATTCCATTGACTTATGCCATCCTGTTTTTAACAAAAAGACACTATTTGTATTTATTAAACGAGTATAGTCGGTGGGGGGGGGGGGGGGCAGCAAACCACAACTGCCATGTCGTTTTTTTACAACGTAACCAAATTACGTTTAACCCGTAAACAAAAAACAACGGGCACAGACATTGAGGGTGACCTGAAGATTAAAACAAAAATGCAAATACTCTCAAGACACTCACTTAAACCTCTCCGTCTTGAGCTTTGTTTGCGACGTTGCTAATGGCATTGTTCGTTTGAAATGTCAAAACTATTCCAAGCGTTGGCAAAACATCGGCGTTTAGCTCTTGCGCCCCGCATCAACCACGATCGCGCTGTTCGAGGGTTAAACTCCCAGGCTGTCAAAATGACGGAGGCACTTAACAGAACCCCAAAACATTTAATTAGCCAGGACTTCTGGCAGAACACAGAAAAGCTTTTGAGAAACATGCTGTATTGACAGTTTAAGCCGCAAGAGTGCTAGGGTTAAGAATGTCTTCCCATGTCCTGCAGAGAGAGAGAGAGAGACGCCCCACACAGACTGACGGACCTAATAGCTCTTTATGTTAAACGTAAGCCCCCCGAGAAGGCTCTGCGTCCAGTCCTGAAGCAGCGCGTGCTACCTCCAAGGCACGGAGACATCTTGCGGGACTCTAAAACCTTTGACCCAGAGACACCGTAATTCCTTACACTGATAACCACACCCACGCGCGCCCGTGTCCTCCTGCATTATGCACGAGCGCGCGCGGCGAAGGCGCTGCCCGATTTATGCTGCAATCTGCGATTATGTAAAAAAAAGAAACGCTCCCGACATTTATCTGCACAGGTGTACGCACGTTTCCGCGTTAACATTTTTGCGTCGTGAAATCGATTTCAATGCTGTTGCCGTTGCGGATGATAATAATGCCAGTCATTGTTGCTGCTTAGGTGGTGACGTTGTTGTGGCGATATTGTGACAATTTGTTTAATCTGTCCTGGATGGGCCACGCACCGATCTGTCCTCGGGGTTTAACATTTATTGACACACAAGACTCCCTGCAGGGTGACTAAGCAAAGCGCTACATCAACGTCCCCGTACTCATCTCATATTGAGTCCAAACATATTGAGCTCCCATGAGGTGCACTCTTTTACAAGCACAGCCGACACAAACAAGGGATGTTTGGGCTATTAGCATGAACTCATTTACTTGACCTTTGGGGCTATTCAGAAGAATACCGGCAAACAGAAGGCCAGAAATAGAGCAATAGCAGATGCGTGACCCATCGCCTCTCATAACCTGGCTCAGCACAAGTGGACCTTTGCGTATATCCACCTGCATCTATATACCTAAGCAGCGCCGCTGGCTGGAGTGTGTTTAGTTTGAGCAAAAGCACGCGGACAGGGAAATTAAAGGTAATGCCGCTGTGTCTGTCCGAGAGATTGCGTATTTAATCTTGAAGCCTGGTGAAACGCGGGCTACGCGACACAATAAAGGGAAACGTCTTCACTCGCAGCAACGGTGCTGCGATTCTACCAAATGTAATAACGCACTCCCCTTATTCTTACGCCAAAACGTCAGAGACAAGATTTCTTTAAGTCAATTAATGGGCCAGAATTGCAGCTCACGCGCAAAATGAAAAAGCCACATCATCGTGATGAAGGATCTCGATCTGGCTCGAATGAACGCAGGCACTGCATCTCGCTGCATCGGGCACGCAACAAAGGAGCTGTTCTGCGTGTCATAGGGCCAGTGGGATAGTGTGCTTCACCGAAACATTAAAACGCGTTTGCATTTTCACCGCGAGCGTTCGGCAAAAACTTTTCTTCACACTGTCGATTCGCATCGCACGAAAGAATAATTCACCGCCGTTGCAATAGACACCAAACAAATGTGACTAGTTGGTTTTTACTTTTGTTGCTTCTGTTCCATTGTTTTAGCATTCCTTTATGTTCTCATATGAAAATAAAACGGGCATGCTGAATGCAAATTAGTAGCACAAATTAGTAGCACAAATTAGTAGCACAAATTAGTAGCACAAATTAGTAGCACAATTTAGTTGCACAAATTAGTTGCACAATTTAGTTGCACAAATTAGTTGCACAAATTAGTTGCACAAATTAGTTGCACAATTTAGTTGCACAATTTAGTTGCACAATTTAGTTGCACAATTTAGTTGCACAATTTAGTTGCACAAATTAGTTGCACAAATTAGTTGCACAATTTAGTTGCACAATTTAGTTGCACAATTTAGTTGCACAAATTAGTTGCACAATTTAGTTGCACAAATTAGTTGCACAAATTAGTTGCACAAATTAGTTGCTTTCGCTACCAAATTGGTTTTTAGCTTTAGCTTTTAGCTTTCGTGACCGAATTAGTTGCACAAATTAGTTGCTTTCGCGACCAATATCCATAACAGAGGTTTTTGGGTTAGATCACGTAAACATAAACGTGTCGTGAAACCCGCCACCGCCAGACAGCCAATTATTAAGGTTTGTTACATTAAACAAAACATGCCAATTCGTTACTAGTACAGCACACCGGTGTGTTGGAGAATAATCCCACAGCATTTACAATTTGAGTACTTGTGGATTTACTCTCCAACACACCGGTGTGCTGAACTAGTAAAAAATTAGCACGTTTTGTCTCCGTGACGAATCTTACTAACTGGCCGTGTCGGGTGGTGGGGCGGGTTTAACGACACGTTTATATTTACACGATCGAATCCCAAAACACCTCCGTTATGGAAATGCAAATTAGTTGGCGCTTCAGTCGGAAAAAATCGCAGAAGCTATCTTTCAGACCGCCATCGACAAATCAGGCCTATCGGACATCGCACCGAGAAAACGCGCTTGTACTCGTTTCAAAGTGTGCTACCAGATACATTTATAAACTGGGTGGCACACCCCCACCCCAACCGCCAGGCCTCCCCACCCATAACACACCTCCTCCTCTTGAATGCCAGACAATGAAGCAACATTTTTAATGGAAATGTGTGGGTCAGGGCAAAAAAAAAATCGTGAGTGAGGCTTATCGGCATGACACAGAGCCACTCTTCCTCGGCTAAATTAAAAGTAATAATTCCCCCCCCCCCCCCCAAGTTACTGCTGTCTATACTTGTGCAAACATCAGCAATTATGACTCGCAGTTGCAGTTTGAGCCATTTAATCATGCTCACAAATGCCATGGCACCCTGCGCATGGCCACAATTACCTTTGTTTGATCTCTATTAGCAAGTTCCGGCTGGAAATGCTGATAATACTTTTCTTTAACCATCTACCCTATGCCGCCGCGCCTTCACGCACGCGGGGAAATTAAACCGCGAGTCGGTCGCCGCGGCGATCAGTGTGGTTGTGCTGGGGGGGGTGAAGGGGATGGGGGCGACTGCATGCCCCTGGGTATCTGGGTATGCTGTGGCTCAAAAAACCAGGCACCCGGTTGAGAACGGACGGATCCTCTTCCCAAATGACGACACGGACGACGTGACGGAGAGAAGGCGGCGGGGGTCTAATTAACACCCCCCCCCCCCCCCCCCATGGGGGAAACACAGTTACGGCTACTCGGAAAACCACTTCTGTGCTTCTGCCGGTTTATCGCCAGCGACAGCTTCGCTGTGGATGCGTGTGCCGCGGCGACTCGAGGAGTTACCGCGGTTCATCCCCATGTAGATGACGTCCAGGTGTGCGCACACACACAAAGATCCCCCGTATAGCCTTAACAGACTGTAGGGGCAAGTGCTGTTAGCGAGCACCTATGAAGGCCGGAACGGTACACGAGGGGGTGGGTGGCCAGCAACACGCCCGACCGCCCCTGTCTCCCTAGTGGCAATGTTTACACACCGCACCAGGTACTCATTTGAGGCTGAGTCGACCTAGGGGAGGCCCGGGACCGGTTCAGATAATCGTCACTGATGTTGGCAGTGAGCGGGAATCGAACCCGTGTCGCCGGGTCACACACACACACACGCACACACACACACATGGGTGGCGGGATGCCGAATGCATTTCAAACGCATTGCCGGAAAGTGGCACGATGGGTGCAGTTCACTGCGTGGACGTCAGAAAATGCTGATGTACATTGCGACGACGACCGTTATGTATTCATGTATACGCAGTGCACAGTCAGGGAGCAGTGACACGGTGCGGTTCGTGCCCACTTCCTAGCTAAGCACCCGGATTCAATCTCTGGCCAAGGCTAACATCAGTGGGGAGCGATGTCTCAACTGGCCCCTCGCCTCCCTTCCTCTACTCCAACCCGCACTGACCTGCACGGTGAAGAATGGTCTAACAACCCCCGTGGCTGACACAGACTTTTCCCCCCGCATTTGAATGACAAGGGCTTACATTCACATCGTAATCATTCTATGTAAGTGCACAGCAGCAGCAAAAGTGCTATCAATAAAAAGTGAAGATTAATTAAAAAAAAAGTGCCAAAGTTATTTACAACCTAACTGCGTCGGGGTTTTTTTTCTTTTAAAACTAGGAGACGTTTTCTCTAGCACATTCCCGTGATGTTTAATCGTTCTACGCTGTGCATTAGCGCCTAACGGCCGGCACACGCGGTCATTAATCACAGAGCGGCATGACCGAAACGGAGAGCGCGGTGTGACGCGGCGCCTTTGCGTTCCGTCCTCGCGCGTCCGACCGTTCACCTACAGCTTCGGCGATGCCGTAGACGGGCTGCCCGTAGGCGTTGCTCTTGTCCCAGATGAACGTGTGCCGCAGGTTCGGCGCCGACGGGAACCAGGTGCGGAAGAAGCGCCCCTCCACGGCCACTGACAGGTGGACCTTGAGCAGGTTGAAGGGCACGCTGGCCGGCGTGAGGCTGACCGACAGACGCGAGTGGTACCCGGGAGCGCGGCTGCTCACGTAGCGCAGGTGCAGCTCCGAGCCGGGCAGCAGGATGCTCTCCTGCACCGCCTGGGATGGGGAGACAGCAAAGATCCCCCGTTGTAGCCTCTTGACAGACCGTCGGGGCAAGTGCTGTTCGCGAGCACCTATGAAGGCCGGCACAGCGCACGAGGGGGTGGCTGGCCAGCACCACGCCCGGCCACCTTTTTTCTCCCTAGTGGCGATGTTTCCACACATGACGAGGAACTCATTTGAGGCTGAGTCGACCTAGGGGAGGCCCAGGACAGGTTCAGATAATCATCACTGGTGTTGACTGCGAACGGAAATCGAAATCGGGTAGCTGGGTTCGTCGCGCAGCGCGCTAACCGCAACACTACCGCTCCCCACAGCTCATATGCACACACACACACATAAGCATGCAGCATGCGCGCACACACACTCACACACAACCCGAGACGGGTCCCGCAGGGGTTCTTAAAAATTAAGTAACGGTTAGCTTGGTGCCTGTGCCCGTGACGCAGCGCTGGCCGAGCAGGATCAACGCACGTCTTCCCTGATCGGGGGGTTGGCGCGCGAGGGCGATCCGTTCGGCGGACGTCAGCACGGTCCATTTGTGAGGTTCTCGTGTGCGTCGGAGAGGGGGGGGGGGGTGCCGGCGTGGCAAGGCCTCGTTAATCGCGGAGGCTGCTAGGCGCCATCGCCGCGCAAATGGCAGTCGGAAAGTTTTGATAATGGGATAGCTGAAATACGCTGCCGAAGCCGGTCTCGTTTTAAGCCGATTTAGATGCCTTATCTCTCCCGTGTCCAATTGTGTAACGAGTGCCTGGGCTGCCAAGGATTACTGCATTGAGAAAAAGTAAACAGATGCAAATCCGCACTTAATATCCGAGTCTCAATGTGTTTTGATCCCCCCCTGGTTACCCGAGGAGACGGGCCAGCTCAAGACTGATAGCCACTGTTGCCCGTTGAACGTAATTACTAAATTGTACGCAATTGCACAAATAAGACAAATTGCATACGCAAAAACAGATTAGGAAATATATAAGTAGATGAATACATAAACACAGGATAAGCTTGGATAATGCCTTGATAGGTGGCAACCATGCAAAACAGGTGATATAGGTAAACAGCAGATGGCAGTGGAGAAAAACCGATTGTTGTACTGTACTTCTATACTCCCATGTCCTGCGCTCCCCACCTTCACCAACCGGCGCCGACCAGCGTGGTTAAGTACGGTTATACATGCCCGACAATACGCACGGCATGCGGACACCTCCTCCTGCAGCGGATTGACAAACCGCTGTACATGCACATCTGAGAAAAAGCGTGGATTTAACCAGGTATACTAAGTAGGCAGAATGGCGAAATGGGAATGAAAGTTTGGTAATAAAAAAAAAAGGAAAGTTCCAATAATTTACAGGAACTTTTGCACAGCTGTGTTTTGTGTTAGGAAATCTTGGAAGGCTGCACACTATGGGGTTATGAAAGACAGACGGTGTTAAATGCCAAACGCAGGCCCAGATGGTGTTTTAAAGAGCTCAGCGGAGGTCCACAAATCATTTAAATTGCAACCCACCACCAAACAAACACAGAACTCCACATCTGCAGATCCCACAACTTGATAATGTACGTGGACATGTCACACACACACTCACTCACTCTTTGAGTCCAGCCAAATGTGTTACTAACTGTCCGAAAGCTATTACTATTTTCTGTGAGTTCTTCAAGACAAAAAAAAAATACGCATTTTTTTCCCCTCTCTCTCTATATTTTAAGAAACATTAAAGTTATTTTTGTAAACAGTGGCCTCTTAATATGGTGAGTTAAATATGTTTTATTTGTGCATCGGCCAACTCTCAGAATTTTTACGTGAAAAAATATTTCATAACTCGTGCTCACATCCTTTATCCACGGGGCACCAGCTTCACTTAGCGGGAAACCTTGAAGTAGACTGAGTGGGAGTCTCCCCCATACCAGGTACTCAGCAATAACATGTCATAATATACTACCTGTGCTCACCAGCATGGTGAAGTATGGTTTAAAAAAAAACCTTCCCGTGACTGAAATTCCTAAACTCCAGCAGCTCTGGATGGGATGTGGATTGTAGCAGCAGAGGACGATGATGGATGTTGGCAATGGCATGGAGAGGCCTTGGCCTAGCATTGAACAGATCACGACTGATAATGATGATGAAGACGAGTGCTCAAGCCAGAGGTAAAGGTGCAGCTCTGTGTTTGTGTACTCAAGCAACCCCAGGATTAGCACGCTTGGCTACGTACGGTGCCAAAGAAATTAAACAGACACACATACTCGGCCACTGCTGGCAGAATGGCTTCTGTAACAGGGAACTCTACAGAGGCCCTTGAAAGGATAACTTGGCCTACTCTTCCACACTGGCCAGATGTCTTGGAAGAGGTTGGAACTACCCACACGTCACCCCCACCACATGTGACCTGCCCAAAGACTAACCGTGGTAGCACCCCTTCGTACTGCTGGGCTGTAAAGAGGCGGTGGGGCTGGAATTTTGGTTCGAATGTCGCGCCGGGTAGATGGAACCGAACCGGTGACCTCAGGATTGGAAAGTCGGGCATGCAAAAGCTACAACCACAGCAGCATCGGGAGGGGGGGGGGGGACGCAATTGCGGGGGTGCACACCGTGTGGGAATTCGCACTCAAGTCGGCAGGTGAAGATCCAACCTGGCCACGTGGCAGTGATCCACAAAACTAGAGAGTGGCTGCTGCTGCTGCTGCGACTAGTGCAGCGAGAAGCAGGTGGCAGCAACACCTCTTGCTCTGCCCGCTGCTCACGGAAGGCCCCGGCACTGTGCGAGATGTCGCAGCAGGCGACCTTGCGAGCGCTGCGATGCTCTCGCCACCCGCCGATTCCTCCGGTCTAAATAAAGATTACGATTCACTGGAAGGACTTTCGACTTCGGTGGACGGACGCGAAAAGGAGAAGATCCCACGAACGGAGTTCAACGGGTCGGCGGCGGGTGAGATTGGCCTGTACCTGGATCTCGGGTATGATGGGATTGAGCGGGCCGCAGCTGCCCGGCACGGAGGTCAGGGGCGAGGGCAGCACGGATGGGTTGGGCCGCACGAAGCCGCTGACGTCGCAGCTCGGGATGTCGTTCTCCTCGCGGCGCATCACCACCGTGTCCACGACGATGAACCGGTTCCACGGCAACCAGACGGTGCGCAGCTGCGCGGTGAACGGCGCCCGCTCGAATTGCAGCGTGACCGAGCGTCCTCCGCTCGCCATGAGGTCGAAGCTGCGGGGGGAGGGTGGGGGGGGGTCACGTGACATCAAACGTGCGCGTGCCGTCGCCTCCTCTCGGCATTGCTTACATTCCCTTACGCGCCTTGCTGCATTGCTCCGATACCAAAGTGCCCCCCCACACTTAAATTAATACGGAATTCTCGATTGTCAAACCCGTGGGCCGATGTCTCCGTTGTGGAAACCCACGGACTGTTGAAATTATTTACTTATTGAAACCATGGGCACAGGCCTAAAATGCGTGCGTATGCTTGGTGCGTTCAATTGGCATGTAACAACGCATCGATTCTTTGATTAACATAAATTCTTGCAGCCACAATACTTGGATGAAATTGAATGGAAACGCTGTGCAAATTGCACACAACTGTTACACCGTGGGCGATGTGGGGCAGATGAAACTGTACATATGAGAGAAAAAACAACATCGCAAATAATGTACACGAGATGGTAAAAAAAAAACCCAAGACGGAGCACGAGAGGAAATCAAGAGGAGTGCGCGTTGCACGACACTGAAGCGGCGGTACGTACGCTCCATCTTGCCGCGTCACGGTGTACCCGTAGTTCGGGTAGTGGGGGAAGGATACGTTCACGCCGACCAGTGGGGTCCCGTCCAGCGTCTGCACCTGACCTCGGACCACACACGCCGTCCTGGGGACAACAAGAGCAACCAATTAGGGCCGGCACAGGGGACACAGAGGGGCAGCTTGGGTGGTGTGGCCGGAGCGTGTTCACGGCTGCTGTCCCCGACCGATTACCACACCCTTCAAAATGTGCACGCATGTTATGTATCCGTAGACGTGGCGCGAGCTCGTTAAACAAAAAAAATGCCAAAGAAATACGGTGGCAGATTCAGGAGGCGAAATAAAACAAGAAGCAAATGCTCACGTCTTCTCGTCCCCCGTTGTTTGATAAAAATACCGTCGCCCGTCGGGAAAGGCAATAAGCCTGCCCGGCCACCCACTTGTGGATGTTAAAGATCCCGAGACGCTCCACGGGGGTGTAAGCAATCGTGCTGCCCGTGTCACGTCTAACTTCACCGACCTGCTATAAATCACACTCCTCCCAAGAGAAAGCGGGGGGGGGGGGCCTTTGTGTAACGAACAATTACGCTGCGTGACAAAGTTATCCACTGCGCTGCTTCTTAATTGACGTGGACTTTGAGACAGTCCTCTGGCACGAGCTCAACACAGCTGGGTTGAGTTGGCCAAAGCATAAAACTTCAGCTTGAACGGCCGAGCCAGCTGCTGCTCCGTGCTACAAAGGCATCGCTCGCTTCGACTGCCCCGGCAATTGCACTCAGATGTGAGGTGAAACACCCGGCGAGTTACTTGAAACCAAATTAATTTTAAGATGTGTATATATATATATATATGCGAAACAAATTCCTTGTCTCGTAATCCAATTACTTCTTTTTTCTTTCCATCTGCACTCTGTATTCGGTTGAAATAAGGAAACCTTGGCACCTGAGCCAACACCGTTTTTTAACCCTCCGCGCATAACTTCCATAATTATTCATATTTTCATTAACTTTGTTTTACCCCTTTTCTCCCCGCAGGTCGTATATTTCTCGCAGGAAAAATAAACCTTCTGCCGCTTTCTCGCGAAGAAAGTTTTCTTTTTACTCCCAACGAAGTTCTCATCTGTTTCCAACTTAAAAATGTGACCAGCGTTTCTCAGAGTTGGCATGTGACTTTTTTTTATTCTTTGCTGCCAAAAGCCATTTGTGTAAGGTATATGCTTAGTGAGACTTTAGTTTGTTTCAACTAATATAGAAATTAGTTATTTTATTACGACAAAAAAAGCCATCTGTTCTGGAATTGCAGACAGCTAAAAAAAACCTCATGCTTTTAGTTCTGTGGGGAGAAGGCACTTTGACCTTATCTGTTTATACATTTAACATCTATACAGACACAAATATAAATCATAGATCTAAATAAATCAAACCAAGCAGACGTTGGCTCTGTCTTTCACAAATCAAGTGCTAGCCATGACTAATTTCTTCAAGCATCTTGCGCGTGCCCAAGAAAAATGTTCACAATGCAGGCACCGAATGATAAACATCCAGCGTTCCATGACATTTAGACTAAAATCACATTCGAGCACAACTGTGGCGGGGAGCGCTCACGATGACAGATGACCGATACGGCTCTTCCAGTAGGGCCCCGCCAGGGTTGAATAAGGAGACTCGAGTTAACAGAAGGCAGAGCCAGAGGATCCGAATCACACCTCGGCATTCTGCCATGGGCCCAGTGTAACATTTCCTCAAGCGCGTGTCCCAATCAGTCAAAGATTAAGCGGAAGGATTTCGGAGGCGGTGTGTGGCGACATACGGGATTGCATTGCCACGTTGAATCGCAGTGCCAGTGGACAGAGAGAGAGAGAGAGGGAGGGAGGGAGACGGGGCTGAGGTGACAAAGGCACGCGCCGCTCGTTAGGGATACTTTTGACTTTTGCCGGCAGCTGTGTGGTCAGGGTATGATAAACAAAAATGACAAACCTCAAGCAAGGTGGCCGGGGTGAAGCTCTCCGAGCAAAGATGCGGCAATAAAAGGCAGAAGGGGGGGGGGGGGGTGTGATGCCCGCTGCTGCAGCTCCATGGAGGCGTCCACACGGAACGCCGCTCTTGAGCGTGTGCGGCGCGAGTCTTAGTAATGGCTCATGGCGCAGTCAGGCTATGAAGGTTTTATTTGATCTGTGACCGTGGCCCTGTACAAACCTTCATTTTGAAATCCGGCATCCGCACGTTGACGCGTCGCGGTGTGTGTGTGTGAGACGTACGGCAATTACGTTTTTAAAAAGTGGCTAAAATATTGTCGTCGCAAGTGAAAGGAGCGATATTTCAAACACGAATGTCCAGCCAGCAACACACACGTGTCTCACTCGTATATAATGCATCAACACGAGACTTTCACCGTGGGGTAGTGCTTTTCTGTTGGTTTTTTGATCGTATCGGGGCTGTGAAAGCCAAGCTTTTGTTGGGGGTTCTAAACACTAACTCTTAGTTGAAAACGTCCCACTAAATATGCACTTCAAAGTTGTCGATTAGACTTTTATCTTTGCAAAGAGTTCGCCATTTTTATTACCAACCCAAGCGAAATGGTGGAGTGAAAGTAAAAAAAAATACCTTCAGCAATTTTATATGCTGGGGTTTTAAGTCTGGTCTCAATTTTCTTCCTGAAACAACAGAAATACAATACTCTCATCCTCTCTCTCACTCTTCAGAGGCATCGGGGAAATCCACCCACACACGGACACAAGGGCATTGGCAGCCGTGTGTGTGCCTGCTTTAACCCTCCTCCCTGATAAAGCGCTTTAAGGCAATGCTCGTACATGACGAGACAATCAGATCACGCTCCTCCTCTCAAGTATGTAATCACCTGTTCATATCCTCATAATCATCAGGGATGGTTAATCCACTTCTGAATTAAGGCCTCACCAAGCCTCCTCTCGTGAACCCACGTTGTAACAATCCACCCGGCGGCACCAGCGCGTGAACCGATTTCATTGCTCCATTTCCTCGGTGTTTATTTTTTATTTGTTCGACTATATTAATTTTAGGGTCAACAATGCCGGCGCCTTACCGCGCGGCAGGTGAGTTCGCTTGTACCGCACCGGCGAGGCCCTCATACTCCGCGGATCCCATGCGGAAACAATCGGCGCAGCCCTCGATCGTTTCGAAACCGTGGGCGGCACGGCCTTATTCACTGTGTTCAGAGAAGTAAGGATCCCGCTCGCAGTTCAAAAGCCACCAGAGATTTAGAATCAGAATCTTTATTTATCCTGGAGAAATCCGATGAGATGTGAAGCTCTTTTTCAATGATGTCAATAAGGGCCGGGTCAAACAACAACAATAAAGACAATTATTGTGGAGTACTAAGTATGGGAATGGCAAGAAAATCACTACCAGATAAAGCACACCGAGTTATTAGTTATTTTTCAGAAGCGACCTGGCCACAAATGATAGCTCAACGAAGTGGCTCATCGCGTTGAAATATATAGCAGCCTAATACTCTAAATGTGTCATGTTGATTCTAAATGTGGCGGGGAAACACTGGAGGACCCGGGGAAAATAATCCCCGCTACCACGGAACTTGACATTAATGTTATTGCAACACACTCCTCGGCTTGGGAATATTCTCTCACGTGATTGAAATGTTTGTGTACGTATTAACTTACAAACTTGTTTTGGTGAAACTTTTTTTTAGGCGATTGAAATTAAACGCCCTCTTCACAATGTGGCGTCTGTGGTTGCGTAACGCAGCGGTTACTTCACAGCCGCAGGTTTATTTACATTTGTGGGAGGCTGTATCAGCCATTCTCTTTCCACCGCTGGAAGAAAAGTTACCATCACCCAACGTTACAATTTATTTTAATGACATAAATACAACGACGGTCCTTCTGTCGCCATTTTTTAAATTAGTTAATTGGCGTAATATGCTAATCGGATGAGATATGCTAATTAGCAATTATTCGAAGTTTTGACATTAACCCACTTTACCTCCCCGTGTATTTTCTTTCTTTACTTTTGAAAACAAATTAACAGAACTTAATTTTTCAAAGGGAATTAAACATTTTAGAGGAATGCAATATACACATTTTAACGCCACTTTTTTTTTTTCAAAGTAAAGTTTCACATTGCCATACACATTCCATATACACTCGACATTTTGTCCGTTCGGCATGTCGCATGTGGTGGAGTAAATTGTGGGTTACCGCCACCTCTTCCTCGATGTCCAGCCAGAGTAGAAGAGTAGGCCCATACATACATCCTATAGGAGGGACTCTCTCTCTCTGGAGATGCCTCTGGTGGAGACGCTAACTGACGCAAGCAGAATCAGAATATTCATTTATACTGGAGGAATTCGATGAGCTGCAAAGCTCTGTTTCACAGGCGCACCTTCCAAGTCCCCAGCTAAGACCTCAAGCAGTAGCGTGTTCAAGCTGTTGCAGGGCTGCACCATTAGCCCACGTACATCCTGGCAAAACGTTGTAGAACATTGTAATCTACCTTCTATGTGGCATTTGTTTGGCCCGGGGAGTTGGGGGGAGCTGTCAAAAAGTCACACGACTTGTTGGAGCGCAATTGTGCTCGCAAACAAAAACTACATTAAGCTGTTACGAAATGCGAAGGTCATTCAAAATGAGATCCGTGTTTCCAATGACACGTCACTTGTGGTTTCACTTGTAAGTGTAAACAGTCAATGGGTACAGGTGTGGCCCTTCAATTGCTAGCTCACACGACTGCTAGCGGAAAGGCCTCCACTAGACGCAGGTCTAGAGAGACCCTCTAAGCATAGCTAAAACACATACATATAAGAAAAACTCCACGCTGTGTCAATACATATACAAATATGTGAATGAGCCTTTCCAGACGTAATCAAGCACACTCTTGACTGCTTTTGACCTTCTGGGTTTCAACGGCAAAGTCAGATGCTCCTGGGGAAAGTGCACCCCATATGAACTGCTTAATTCTGCCTCCACTGCCTAATGAACGCAACGTCTGATGCAGTGTTCGTGCTCAAAAGCCTCACGTAGAAATTGCAGACACGGTTCAACCTGGAAGGCTACATTTTGCAATTTCCACAGAGCCCAAAGATCCTGAATGCCTCGGCATTGAGCAAAGGAAACGACCGTAACAGTTCCCTGCG